GACTTCTTTTTTAAAAACACAAATATAAGACAGTTATCACAACTAATTAACTATAACTTCATAACATAAATCTTTAGTTAATGCTGAAATTTCTAAATTATTCATAAATATCATATAATGGATTTTACAGTTTGTTTGAATCAGGATCCAAAAAAGATTCATATATTGCAATTGGTTGATAGATATCTTAAAGTCTATTTTAATCTCTGTTTCCTTCTTTCTTGCCCCCCCCCGCCACTTTTTAAAAATTTTGTTGTGCAAATGGGTTATTTGTCCTGAAGTTTCCTACAGTCTGGAGTTTTTGATTGAATCCCTGTATGTTGTTTAATATGTTACTCTATCCTCTTCATTTTCCATAAAATTGACATTTTTATTTTTAAAAAGTTAGAATCAAAGGCACTATATAATTCAGATTTTCTTTTCTTTTCTTTTGGAAAACCTTTTCATAAGAAGCTGGTATTCTATCTGAAGGCACATAATGTTCACTTTTCTCACTTTTTGCAATGTTAGCAGCCACTAATGATCAGTGCATAGATCCATTGGTTCATTAGGGGTTTCTTCATAGCTTCATATCTGGGATATTTTTATAAAGAGATAGTTTCCTGCTATTTTACTAAAACAACAATAGTAAAGAGACTGTGGCACTTGGTATTTTAAGAGAAGTAACTATCCAGGTAAAACAGGAAAACCAGTTTGATCTATACTAACTAGTACCACTAATTAAAGGGGGAAAATGGGGCCTTTTTTATTAAGGGACACTAATGCATTAGAAACTAAAATGTAGTTTGTACTTAAAGGTTCAATATAAATGAACGCTGTAGAGTGAAAGGGAAAAAGTGCGTCCGTTCTTGTTAAGACACTCAAAAATCTTTTCTAAGTTATATTACAGTTTCATAGTTGTCTGTACAAAGAAGGAGAAACACTTTGAGATCACTATTTTACATCTACCTATTACTCAGGCTTTGTGACAAAAAGTTTTGTTTCTAGATCTAGATGCCACTGCAGAAAAGGTGTGTTTCATTCATATGGGGTAACTCTAGAGCATTTACCCCAATCGTCCCAAGTCAATAGAAATCTTCTGCCAATGACAGGGAAATTGGGATCCTGAGAGAGCAAATCAAATCTGCTTTTCTTGAAAGTGACTCCACATAGCAAGGAGAAGCCTGTCCAGCCATCAGATAGATAGGTGGGTCCAGTTTAAGGCTTCCCAGAGTTCTGAAATGAACCACCACATAAATGAAGACATATTTATTCTCATTTGTGGGCATTCTTTGGAAATTTCCATATCTTTTTATAATCATGTAACTCATACAAGGTAAAAATGGGTTTGTAGATCTTTAAGGAAATGCTGTGAGCACACACAGAAAAGAAATGTGACTGGGGGAATGAGAGGGAGTTCCATGGAAATGGAGGAACATAATTTGAGGGGAAGATTCGATCATTCAATAGCTTTTTATTGTATGCCTGCCTACTCTGTACCTTGACATTGTCTCATGGTAGATTCAGTTAAATCTGTTTTCAAATTCTGCATCAAACCCTCCCCACGTGGCCTTAGGCAAGTTACTAAACCTCTGTGCCTCAATTTCTCCATTAGCAAACTGTAGGTGCTAATATCCATCTCAGAGTTTTTGAAGTTGAATAAAGAAAAGACCATATAAAGACCGTATAAAATGCCTAATACAGTATCAGGCAGATACAGAGCATTCCACAGAAGCTACCCCCATAGTATCACTTTTCTCCATGAAGAAGGAAAAAAATGACAGAGAAGGAGGGTGGGTAGGGCACAGGGCCTAAGAAGTAAGGATGTGAAAGGGTTATTGCAGGATGGGAAAATAACTAGACAGACTCAAGTAAAATAATTGAAGGCCTGGCTACAGTTCCCTGCTACCTTGAGGCCACAAATAGATTTCATTTGTCTACTTTCAGGTATTTGACCAGAGAGGTAAAAGATGGAGGTTTTCCCAGCTCAGTTCAATTTATATGGTTAGATAGCTTTGCCAAATGGAAAGGACTAGAATAGTGAATTGGAATGTCTTAATTGACCTAAAGTTATCCCGTTCATGTTTGATGGAGAGAGTGAAGGGGGATAGAGAGAGGGTAAGGCAGGTAAGGAGAATCAGTTTAAATGTGAGAGTCATCACTGAGGAATAGGATGATGGTTTTTCTTCTCCAATGGGAAATGAGTTAATTGAATTTGAGAATAATTTCTCAGGGAGGAAAAACTCCCTCCACTCTTTCCCACACCTACCTTTATTATTTGGCTTTTGCAAGCATACCACAATATAGGATTATAAATTCGGTTTATATCTCCCTTAGCCCAGTCTCCCTTTATTACACCGCTTTACTGCTTCTTTGGGGCTGAGATTCTAAAATTTGGGTCAAATGTTCCATTAAGCTAACCACTTTAGAATACCAATAACACTCCTACAGCACTTTTCATCTTCATAGCAGTTCACAAACATCTCCTTCTCCACTAATGAAGATGAGTTGAGTATCTATAGTATCTAAAACCAGAGCTATTTAATCATTGTCTGATGTGAAAAAGTAAGACAAAATGCAAGACCAACAAAAAAAAGTATACTACATTTTAAACTTGCTGATTCGAGCTTTTTAAAAATTCTTTGAACGTGCAGGCAGAACTCCTGCCACAAAATCCCAGCTTTTGTAATGAAGAGTCAAAATAAGAATAGAAACAACATCTTAGGGCTGGTTTTAGCCCTTCCTATCTTTCAGGGTGTTTTTATTCTATTTGATCTTCATGAAAACCAGTGAGAAGAAAAGGAATTGTTATCCCCACATTTTTGTGATTAATTAACCTGTTTGAGTTTTGAGTTACTAAATATTTGTGCTGACACTAGAACTCCAAACTTCAGGCTCCAAGTCAAAGGCTGCTGGGGAAGGAAGGATGGAGGCATTGAGAGGGAGTGCATGTTTACCCTGCTCTTTCAACTAAAGAAACTCCATTAGCAATATTACATTTGGGGCTTCCATGTGGATTTCCACAGTTCAATTTCATTAGAATCTCATCACACAGAGTACGTAGCATCTCCTCTATTGTTCATGACCAGCTAGATTGTGAGTTGCATTCCAAAATTACATTGAACAGGATTGCAAAGCTCCATTCCTGGCAGGTTGCAGTTACATACTGTACTCTTTCCCCTCTGCATGGCCCCAAATCATTCATTCAGCTTTAACACTAACTAGCTGTTCTGGCCAATGGAGCTGACTGATGGCCTTTGTATGGACCAACTCTCTCTCTCGACTTCCTTTTCTTCTATACAAGTCATACTAGTCATGCTTTCCTGTTTACTACTGGTCACTTTCACCATTGTGGGTCTCTTTGACAAATCAGCATGCACACACGCACAGGACTGTGACCCTATTGTGGATGGCCGTGATGCCTGGTGTCTAACATGGGGTGTGAGCTCAGGATTGTTGAAGACACAAACACTGGTTCTTTAGCCTCCCTATTCTTTCTCTTTTTGCACAAACTCTTCCATCCTTTTAGGAGAGGCTCTTTGTATGTCTTCTTCTGTCTTCTTTCTTCTCACTCCCCATCTCTTTAGTCTTTCTATGACCATAAAATAACCACCCATTGCAGACAAGGTAAAGCCAGTTGCTCTGTATTTAAAAAAAAAAAAATTGAATCCATTCCTTGTGAAGGAAATTAAGCAAGACAAATATTTAGTACCAAGTGACTATATTTTTTAAGGTGCCTTTAGGTCCAGAGTCGTCAGAATCGTAAGAGTCTTCCATCTATAATCGCTTGCTTTTTTTTACCAGCACCCCTTGAAAACTCTTTTCTCCTTTTCATCCTTCAAAATTCAGGTCAAATGTCACTTCCTGCAAATCCTTTACTGACATCCTGAGGCAGACTCCATCACCCCTTCTGGAATATCCCACAGAAATCTGAACTCTCCTTTGGTATAGTACGTCACACATTATGTTCAGTGCAATTGTATCTGTGCCTCTTCTGTGCTAAAATAAGAGTTGGGTTTTGTTTGTTTTGTCCTTCTATCTCTAGCAGCTAATATACAGACTAGCCTGGTATGTAGATATAGATGCACAATTTTGTTGTTGTTGAATTTGATTTAGATAAATGAATGATCACTTTGGCTTCAAGAAAAAAGGTTCATTCTTACTCAATTTGTATTCTACTTTTGGAGTGGGATTGTTTTCTACTATTCACTGAAATTTGAGGTGTATTTTTTAGCTGTCCTATGAGTTGTATATATTTGATGACAAATGAGCATCTTAACATAGAAATTCTTTCTATGGAAAAATATGGTTCATTTTCCAATATGTTCAAGCATACACAAAAGAATAGAGCTTCATCCAGAACTAGATGGTCTTTCCCTTTTCCTTAATGTCTGCCCTTATTCCTGCCCCCAGAGCTTCACCACATACAGAATTTATCTCATTCTCTCCACTCTCCCATGGAGAGTTTGGCTTTCTATTATGTACCTTGCAATCTGCCTTGAATCCATCATTTATGTATCTTCCCTGTCAAATCTATTTCTCAGAGGATAAGCACTATGCATTTTTCATTGTTGATTTTTTACAATGGGGTTTCAAAGCACAGTATACTGAGTAAGTGCTCAGTAAATGGTGGGCTAAATTTTTCTCTGCACAGTTAAAAAAAAAAAAGCTCAGTAATTGAAAGTAGAGGAATGTTGGCATTTGATTGAATATTGAGGATATTTCCGTCCCAGGTTGAACAGTGCCTAGTTTCCTATCATTTGCCATCTGAGCTCCAAATGTCCAAATTCCAGTCTTCACAGGCTGTCTTCCCTCACTTTTCCGTCTTCTATTCTTTTCTCTAAAGATGAAAGGAAGAGAAATGAGATAGTCCTATTAAGCATTCGTTTTCATCCTTATTGTTCTTATGTGGGCACTTCATTATGAGATGTTAATTGTGCAACACTCTAAAGACCTGTTTTCTAAGAACAAAATGTTCTAGTCATTCTAGTATATTAAAAAGTGTTGTTTTCTGCTTTTAGGCTACAATGGTGGCTGTGTTGTCATGCGAGGAAGGAGTCCACCTGGTCGCTGGGAAGTGAAGGACTGCAGACACTTTAAGGCAATGTCCCTGTGTAAGCAACCAGTGGGAAAACAGGAGAAAACGGAGCAGGAAGAGAGATGGCCCTTTCACCCCTGCTACTTGGACTGGGAATCAGAGCCTGGCTTGGCCAGCTGCTTCAAGGTGATGCCAAGGGTACCTAGGCATTCTCAATGGGACCAACATTGTTTCAGTTTTGTCCACGTATCCCAAATTCCCTTACTCCAGAACAGTGCCTGGCACACAGCGGGTACTTAATATTTGTTGACTGTCTCTGTCTTTTCAGTTATATTCCAAAATAATTTTAAGTCAAAAGACTGACATATCCCTGGTGATACTGAAGGCCTCTTCTTGAAGATTGATATCAAGGCCCCAGTCAATGTTGTTCTTATTGCATAATATCAAATGAACAAGGCAGATGCTCACCGGGTATTGAAATGGTACAATTCCATAGTTTGTAAGAAAATGAATAAAGTCTTTATTATGGAATAATACCATTCTGCTGCTAAAAATAGCTTTTGCAACTTGCCGGACACCTGAGGGTCAAACAAATTAATACATACAGTTGATACATATGTGTGTGTGTATATATATGTGTGAAAAAATGTGTGAAGAAATGTCTTTTTGCATATCAGCTTTAGATCCTAGATGTAAATCAGTACCTACAATCTTCTTGTCATGAAACATCTGTGAATGCATTCAGTTTAATGTACACATATACAACCCTACATTAAATTCATCGGGTAACAGTGACCTCACAAAGCAATAAGTTAAACTTTAGAAATTAGCAAACAGAGGCAGCAAGATGAAGTGATTTGCCCAAGATCACAATTATTTATTAACAGAGTTGGAATAAATCCCTGGTCTTGGGCCCCCCAGTCCAGTGCCTTTTCTACTATATATTACCCTGACATGTCAACAAATGTATGGTGTGTTTGATGGGCATGGTGGTGGGATTGATGAATTTTAAGTGATTCAAGAAAAGGTTCCCAGAGGTGAGTTTTGACATATAATTTAAAAGATGGAAAGGCTGTGCTGTGGCCCACAGCTATTCATTCTGGTCTCAGCAAATCAGAGTCTGGTGAAGCCTGGCCGCAGGGTGCCTTCCTGGCACTAGAGACTCTGGCATAATGTCAGGCAGTTAAAAACGAGGAGGGCACAGAGGCCTACGATATGGAGTTCTATGTTTTTGGACCCTCACCCTTGATCCTAAATAGAGTCAGAAGTAGACTCTCCATTTACTGACGTCTTCCTGCTACTGTGAGGACAGCTAAGAAACAGCAGAGAATTTAGGCACAGCTAAGACCCAAAGACCTTAGTAATATACCTGCCCTAGGTCCCAGATCTCATTTCTCATTTTCTGCCATGGGTCAGCCAGATTCATGATCATTCAGCCAATTCTAATTTGTCAGAAGGCAATCTGGTGGGATAGGAATTCATGGGCTCTTGAAGCAAGGAGTACCAGATCTAATCCTAGCTCTGCCTATTTGTAGCTGTGTGACCAGAAATTTATAACCTCTTTTAGCCTGACTGTCCACATCTCTTAACAAACATTTATTAAGGGACAAGTATATGCCAGTTACAGGAAGTTTAGAAGAAAAAAAAAGAGTTCTCAAGGAGTTTATTTATAAAACTGAGCTCATTATATCCTCCTCATGAATTTGTTGTGAGAATAAAATGAGATAATAGTTTTAGATGAATAGACACATTCTAGTTCAATAAATGTTATTTCTCCCTACTGGGTCAAGCTTCTACTATAGAATAATGACAATTATATTACTGTTATTTTCTTGTCCAGAATTAAACAGCCTCACCTTATCCATGATAGTGTCAACTTTTTTTTCTCCTACTAAATCAGGTATTTCATAGTGAAAAAGTCCTGATGAAAAGAACATGGAGAGAAGCAGAAGCATTTTGTGAAGAATTTGGAGCTCACCTTGCAAGCTTTGCCCATATTGAGGAAGAGAATTTTGTGAATGAGCTTTTACATTCAAAATTTAATAGGTAAATACCTGTTAATTTTGAAAAAATGCAATCAAATTTTCTGTTTCCCAGTAATGACTTATTAGGGATGAGCATCCCAAATATTTGTTTAAAATCTCAAGTATTTGTCTTAAGCCTAAAACCAGCTAGCTACTAGTTGTGAAAGAAAAATATACACATATAGTTTTATATTTATATTGCACCAAGTTCTCATTCCATAAAACAAAGAACAAAGTGGCAATCGTTTTGATATCTGAAATCTTTTCTGTATACCTCAAATCAGAATTTCAGAGCTCTTCGGCCAAACTCAAATTATCTAACCCCATGATTTTCAAAGTGTTGTCTGAGGATCCTGAGAGTCCTGGAACCCCAAGACTAGGGAGGGGACCAAGTGGGCAGAGGCCCTAGTTCCATCACTGACTCACCAGAGTAGCTCCCACCAGCTCCACTTCTGCTTATTTTGTACAGATTAGGAGTCCATGTAAGATTTTGTTTGGGGGGAAAAAAAAAGTCACACTGATTGAAAAAAAAAAAATTCCAATCCACGTCCTAATTTTACATTTGAGGAAACAGGTATTCACTTGTCAGTATCCAGCTTGTAAGTTTCAGAATCTTGAATTACATGGTTAGAAAATCAATTTAATTTAAATTTGAAGAAACATAAAAGGCTTGTGCTCTATTTTACCCAATGCAAAAATTCCCTCCTGTGGTCACCTACTATCTGCACAATTCCTTTCAGAGTGCTCCTTATTTGGGAGAAAGCCCATTCCATTGTTGGAGGCTGATTTCAAAGATCAACTTTCTAGTAAGCCAGAGCCATACAGGTCAAGTCGACTCTATTTTTGAATACTTGAAGACAGCTATTATGTTCTTTTTTAGTGAGTTTTTTCATCCATTGGCCTCTTTCTCTAAAATATTCTTATCAGTTAGCATACATTTTTGGAATATCTTCTATGGGAGGGGTACTTTAATATGCATAGCTGGCTGGAGAATGCAATAAACAAAATAGACAAAAATCCTGCCCCTGAGAAAGCAGTATGGCTCCATGGCTCCATACATTTATTTCATAAAAACAAATGTTAACTCCAGGTACTATGTTCCAAGCTCTGGAAATCTGGAGTCTCAATGAAATGCTTGCCTGAATTACAGAGAAAATCCAAAACTATTTTTTGAGGACAATCCTGGCCTTCCCCATAGTTTTCCTTTGGGACACTCCAAAAGAATATTAATATGCAATATCTACCAAATTATTCATCTCTAGCATCTACAGTAATGACCTTAATGGTAGGAGCCTTTGACAACATCTCCCAATGTGAGTCTCATAGAGTACTGTTGGGGTAAGAGTCAAATATGTTGGCAAAACAAAGCACAAACTTGGAAATTTGCCAATTCCTTCTGGAAGGAAGCATTTTCTTCAGCCACAAACCTCTTTTTTTGAGGACACTTATCAACATCCCATGGAACTGCTAGTCCCTGTGGGAAATGCTGACCTAAACTGTGTTTCCCAAATCTGACTGGTTCTCACACTTACTTGGGACACCTTTTGACACGGAGCCGTCTGGCCTCACATCAGAGCTGCTGAGTCAGATTCTCTGAAACTGAAGAAAATTTCAAGAAGCTTCCTAATTAATTGGACTGTAAGTCTGGTGTGGGGCCACAGATTCAGGGGATATGGGATAGTCTACACTGTTCTAAGTTGTAACTTTTCTTCATGACTTTAGCACCTTGCAAAACATCCTTTCATACTTGGGTATAGTGAGGTTTGCTATATGAAATAACCACATGCAAACTACTTCCAAATTTGCTGTAAGATCAAATATCATTATGTCATAAGTTCTCACACTTGAAATTTCTTGTGAAATTTAAAGCCAAGCATCTATCAAATTGTTAATCTTTAGCACTTCATCAGAAAAGCTATATAATTTTACTTTGTATCCAGACTGCCAGGGGGTTTAACAAAATCTCATGCTTGATTATAGCAAATAAACCAGTTCTCATAGTAGCATACATGCTTGTCCTTCTTATGGCACTGTTTTTTAATTTCTATTTTATTATTTATTATATTATTAAAAAGTACAAAATTATAGGAAATTGATGAAGAGAAAATTAGTACCATCTAGGATCCAGTACATTTCAGGAAAAATGTAGAACTCTGAATTCAGTAAGTAAAGGAATAAAAAGTTCTCAAGGCAGGCGAGTGATATGAATTCCCAGCCTACGTCATTGATGTTAAGGTACCTGGCTTAACCTTAAGGCAGCATCCTCCCCCTCCACAACCTTGTGAATTGTAAATTGTAATCAGGGCAGTCACCAACCAGGCCACAATGATCTCACAGATTTCTAAGACACATTTTACTTTCATTTGTATCGTTCAGGCACAATAGCTCACATATCTGAGAAGGGGATGCTTCAGAATAGGCTTGCTTCACTGCAGTAACAAAAATAAAGCATCTGTCACGACTTCTGAATCTTTTAAATCTTTAATTCTCCAAATTATTCTTAGAAAATTATCTTAGTGAGATGGTTTGTTGTACAATTAGACTTTATTGGTTGATTTATTGAGTACTCTGTGGTTTGATGTATTTGTCCTCTGCCTAATTGGAGGAAAGATGGTTCTCTGTGGGGATTCTCGCCAAGTCTAACCCAGTGGTGACTGCTGAAGTGAATCTACTGTGCCTTGGACTGATTTGCTATGAAATTATTTATGTTGGGCTCTGAAAAAACAAAACCCCAAATCTGCTGTGTACCTTTTATTAAAGGAGGTAGTGGTAATTAACCTCCAAAGAACATGAACATTTGACAAAAAAGCAAAAAATCAAAGCATAGGGAAGTGGTAAATACATAGTAAAGTAGTAAAAAGTCCTCTAGGGAAAAGACATTCCAAAATTTCATACCAACTTGATTTCGTGTGTTCTTATCCTACTTGAAAGATGTTGCCATTTCTAATGAATATGAGAAAGCAGTGTTCTCAATATGGGTTAACTTTTCCCTCAACTGCATGTCACCAGCAAGCACACCATACAAGCCAAGAGAAATAGGAAGCCAGGCTAATCTTCTCTACATTCATCTCATAGCTCAGGTTTTGCATATAGGAAATGTTAATAAATGTTTGCTGACTTGATCTATCCTGCCAGGAGTATCAGCTGTTTTCCTGTGCACATAAATACTTTAAAATATTTCTTGGACCTATTACATTATGTTGTGAATTCAATAGGAAGAGCCAAGTCTTTGTTTTTTCTCTTCACAGGACAGAAGAAAGGCAGTTCTGGATTGGATTTAATAAAAGAAATCCACTGAATGCTGGCTCTTGGGAGTGGTCTGATGGGACTCCTGTAAGTTTTTCCAAACTGAAGGCAAGGAAATGAATTCAAAACAGGGGGCCCTGGAACACCTTGGTCAACCAACCAAGAGAACCTGAAAATAATGACCGTATTTCCTGTGACTCAGACTCAGATCAAAAACTGCACCAGATCTTGGTACCATAAGTTATTTTTGCAAAGTCCGGGGAAAACTTCACAAGCCACATAGTTCTGAGGCCAGCTGTAGGATCTCATCCTGGAAAGGAATCAAAATCTCCAAAAACCACCCCAAACTATCTCCCATGTGAAGAGTCTTGAGAAAGAAGCAACTATTGTTTAAAATAATATTAAGCTCTCTTTACTCCACTTTCCCTCTCTAGCTTAGTACCTAATTATAGGAATGTGGGACCCTTGTCCAGATCACGATGAAAAGAACCATTCTGGTTTATCTCTAAAAGGACAGAAGTGCCAGCCTTAGAAATACCATCTCCTTCTCAACCAGAGCAAGTTATTCGGTTGGAAAAAAAACCTTGCTTTTCTTTCAGCCTCATACTTGTAAAAACCTCTGTGAAGGAAAGAAGGAACTCACTATTACATTTTTTTTTCAGGTTCAATGAGGAATTCTCCTATTTTCCTCAAGATGATAGGGAAAAATGGAAGCAGTATCCCAGATTGAAATGAGATCCATCTGAAGGCACATGCAAAATCAATGTATTCAGTTACACCTGTGAAATAAGAGGCTAGCAAGAGCCTGCAGTGAGCACTTAACGCAGCTCCTATTTATTGAGCCCGGATTATATTGCAGACATGGGTTAAATGCATTGCTGCATGATCTCATTTCACCCTTATAATGACTCAGTGCAGTGGTTATTAGAATGCTTAGTTTGCCTAAAATAATGCATAAGAGAGCCAGGATCTGTACACAGGTTGTCTGCCTCCAGAGCCATGATGTTATAATGTCTCCTAGTTGGCAAAATAGCAGCAGCCCAACTTTGAAATAGTAAAGATCCATAGAGAAAAATGATCTTTAGTCCCACTAGAGAAAATTTGTGGCAAGGAAAGCATCTGTGGAAAACTATATGTGGAAAACAAAAACAATGACATGCTAGTTAAACATACAACACACACACACACACACACACATATATATATATATATGAATATATGAAACATTTCCACCTCTGTACTGCTTCTCTGAGAAGAGTATCAGGACCAGAGAGTAAGAAGAGACCTTAGAGATCACCCACCCCATCCATCTATTTTGCTATCAAAGAAACTGAGGCCCAGAGAACGGAAGGAACTTAGCAGGGTCCACCTGCTGCATAAATGGCAGTCACCACATGGCATAGTTGGGTGGTTAATGTCAGTGTGGCACCTGGAAAATGAAATGTGATATGTAGAGGCTGAGAATGCTTCCTTTTGTTTTAGTGAAACAATCTTATTAGTGATAGAGAGGAATAGACAGTTTGGTTCAGAATAAATGAAATAAAGCCATGAGGCAGCACATGGAGTTCCTCCCTACCACTCCCTACTGGACAAAACAAATATTCAAACTCCCACAATTGTCTGAATCTGAGCTTACATATTTTTAAGTTAGAGGAGTTGTATGATTGTGTACGTGTTTGAAGAGGAGTATAAATGTTTCAAACATCCTCTTTTTCCCAAAGTTTTACTCCAGTTTTACCTGTGGTCCATCCACTCTTCTGTTAGGTAGCCATTAAATCATTGAGAAGATCAAATTTTTATTTAACATTCGCCTTACATGACCATTCATGGAAAGCGTTGGAGTTTCCCAATTAAAGCGAGGGATAACTTAGAATTCAGTGATTAAAGACTAAAAGCTTAATGTATATGCAAAAGAATCTGCATCACAGATAAGACCCAAATGTGACAGGTCAGAGCCTTTCAGAAGCGTACCCAGGGTCCCAGGGCTAGCCTGTTGTGGCCAGTGAGACAATAGCGCAAGTTCAAAAGGGAGCTTACATCTCATCTGTTCCTTCTGGAGAAAGGAGTAGCTTGCCTCTTTTTAAGAAAAAAAGCATCTTTAAGGAAAAATGCTAGTTTGGTTAGCTTGTTCTTCACCAATGTGGAACAACCTTTAACTGCAGTCTTATCCAGACATTTCTTAAGCTTCCTCCAGAAGTCTATTGTGATTTATTTACAGAGATGCTTCTTTTGAGCTTTTGAAACTTTTTGTGGGGGATCATCGTTAAGAAATAACGAACTTCATCTGCTGCAGGTTGTCTCTTCATTTTTAGACAATACTTATTTTGGAGAAGATGCAAGAAATTGTGCTGTTTATAAGGCAAATAAGACATTGCTGTCCTTGCACTGCAGTTCCAAACGTGAATGGATATGCAAAATTCCAAGAGGTAAAAATATTAATAAGATCTTTACTATCTGTTTGCTTTCTAATAATCTACAGCACTTTTCCAAGCGAAGAGTTATAGAGGTCTAAAATTTAAACATCCCGGACTACAGTACCAACAACCATCGCGCGAACCAAACTGTACAGCAAAGAATGCCTCATAGGGGAATGAGAAAAGGTGACACCAGGGCAGTATGCTAATTTAGTTAATAGGAAATGAGGATAACCAACTCTATTGTGGAATATGGTATTTTTCGAGTACAACCTGGAAGAAATGTCACTGTGACTTTACAAGCAAACAAAATTACTTGTCAAATGAGTAAGTGAAAGCACCTAACACTGTGACACACAGTAGGCCCTTGACAAGCGTTCGCATCCTTCCTTCTTTAATCAGAGGCCTGTCTTAAGCCTCCTCTTCAAGTATGAGAACTAACCATATTTCAAACAGCACAAAGTACCTGGTTTTTAAATGGTCTCTTAAAAAGCAGAGTACAAAATACCGTGTTTAGAGCTGAAGTAATTCAGAGATGGTGCACTTGTGAAGAAAGGTCACTCAAGATGGTTTGCTTTCACTTTGCAGATGTGAGACCCAAGATTCCACCCTGGTACCAGTATGGTAAGAACTATCCTGGCAATTCTTGAATTTCTAATTACGTGCCATTATATACCATTACTGTATTACTACAGTCCTCCAATCGAGCCTCTCTTTTCTTATGTCAATCTAGAACTAATTTGTTCAAATTAACTAATTAATGGTCAAATTAATAAATTCATTAAATGATTAAAGATTAATATAATAACACTGTTTTCGTGACACGTGATTTTAAAATATGCATTTATCCCAGACCTTGCAATGCAAATGAAGTTTTCTTAGATGAGATAAACCAAGAAAAATAAGCAAATTATATACTTAGTTATGTGTGTGTAAATATACTTATTTATGTATATCACACGCACACACACACATACACTTTTCTTTAATGCTAAGTGACCAAATTACAAATTTGGCGTCAATCATAGCATATCCTGTTTCAGTCTGCATCACATCAGTCAATGGCTTTTGCATCATTTGCACTGGTTTTTGTTTTTTTGGTTTTGTTGTCTTTCAGATGCTCCCTGGCTCTTTTACCAGGATGCGGAGTACCTTTTTCATACCTATGCTGCGGAATGGCCCTCCTTTGAGTTTGTCTGTGGCTGGCTGCGTGGTGATCTTCTCACAATTCATTCTGCACATGAGCAAGAATTTATCCACAGCAAAATAAGAGCGGTATTTGAATACAATTAATCATGAGAAATTCAGAGCTTAGCTCCTTCTTCTGTCATTGGGGGGATTTTTTTTTTTAATTTGACTTCAGACATTTATTTAAGTTTCATTTAAAACCACAGATTTTTGAGAATTGATTTTCTTCCTGTTATAGGGATTAAGAGAAAATAATGGAAACACAGGTTTACAATGTTGGTCGATCATTTCACTTATCTTCATTCTTTATTAGCAACAGTTATGAATAAGTAGAGTTTTATTGCTTTAATGAGGTGCATCCAATCATCAGCACATATTTATTCAGAGTCTACTCTTCTAAGGGCTGGGGCTCTATCAGTGATTAAAATAGATCAAAATTCCTGCCCTTGGGGAGCTTATAGTCTAGCCTGGGAAGAAAGACTGTAATCAATATAAGTACATAGCATTACATTATATTTTATTAAAAGATAAATGGATAAATGATATGGAGAAAAATAAAGCACAAATGAGGGACAAGGTGTACCGGGGGGGGGGGGGGCATGTGCATGGCTATTTCAAAGTTTTAAATTTTACTTACAAGAATATAATACTTTTAAGTCTATAAAGACTCAATATTCATAAAATGAAAAGGAGTGGTTTTCCATTTCAATTTAAGATAAAGACTTGGACAATCTTTGAGGAGCTAGGCTAATTGGAAAGAAGCATGCAAAACCTGTTAAATAATGAAGCAGAGTGCCAAGGAATAGTGTACATTTTCAGTATATTTCTTCAACAAGCATTTATTGAGCATTAGGTATGTGTCAGGCATTGTGATATTTGTCAAAGACATAAAAATGTCAACAACACAAAAATGAGATACAGTCTCTATTGTTAAAAAAGCTGGAAATAATAATAAGTGAAAAGGGAGCAATATGTACAAAATTATCAAGGGGACACTAAGGGAGGAAACTCACTCCCAATTTTCCCTAGGAAATCTTTGAAAGTAAGAAAAAACTTTTTTCTTTTCTAAAATTTAACATTATTTCATGATCACCAGGAATCCTTTCTTGCGCTATCATCTTTTCACATGTTTGTAAGTTGATTGTTGAAATGAAGCTCTATATTTAAAGCATCCTTGTCATGTAAGAGAAATGTCTTCCCTTACAGCTCATGGACTTTTCCATTTCTATAATCCTATTTGATGCATAGACAGCCTGCAAGGTGCAGGTAGATCAGGACTACTACTGAGTTGTGATGGAAAAAACTGAAAAACAGGGGGGTTAGGTGACAACCCCACAGTTCCATAGAGTCTCAGTGATAGACCAACCACAAGAACGAGATATTCCCCACTATTGGTTTGTGTGCTATTTTTTACCATCCTTCCTCTCCTACAAATGGAACACTCAAGCCAAATCCATGTTAAGCATCAACATGATGTCAGAAAATACGTTCATTTAACAAGACAACAGACTCCTGGTGGCAATAACAAGACATCAGGTCAATGTCTGAAAACAAATCCATCCATCAACATGACAAAGTGCATGTCTCAAATGGAACTGATATTTGGCCAATACTTATTAAAACTGCATCAGGCACTGTGTTAAGTACTAATATTTAATGGCATTTAATCTTTCCAAGGACTCTCTGTGGGAAGTCTATTATCAGTACTTTACCATTGAGGAAGCTAAAACTCCAAAGAGGTGAAGCAACTTGGTTATTTCCACACCAACTATGTGGTGGAATCTGGAAATGAACCCAGGCCATCTGACTTACAGGGTCATTTAAAAACCTTCTGCTGGTAGCAGAACAGCAGTGGGGAGGGGGGGGTATAGGAGCACAATGTCTTCATTACATCAAAATCAAAAAGAGTTCTAAAATCCCTCTCCAAAAGATGGTGTCAGCTCTGTCTCAGACATGAGCAACGAAAGGCATCTTTGATCTTTCCAACAGAGCTTAGCTCCCCTAGGAATATCTGCAGGTCTCCTCTCTTCACCTTTCCCTGAATTTACTCTCCCAATTACTAGTGGTTGGGAAGCCAGTGAGGATGGAAGAGTTAATACCTTCCACAGAAGGGAATAGTAAAACCCATGGGTTTAGCTGTTTGAGAAGTCATACCCAGTGCCGTGATACTAATTGAGGGCTAGATCTAGTTGTGATATCAAACCAGACAAACCTTGTGGTGTCTTACATGGCAAAATTACTACCCAGCCTGTGACCATGTTGATACAGAATGCCTTGTCAGTTTGATGGGTGAGCAGCTGACTGATCTAACACCACACTGTGCTACAAAAGAAAATTACTTGGTGGTTTAAAATGTGTAGAATGAAAAGGGGCAAGGGAGCTAAGGGAAAAGGGTATCAATTTAAAGCTATAAGTTCCCAAAGCAGTTCTTTTTATCGCATAATCTATGGCTGTGTTAGGCACTTTTTGGTGGTGGTAGGAGTGATATTTATGGTGCCCATTTACACTTCATGAGTAAGAAATTCCGTATCTATGAATGTTGTACTAGAATGAGTCTATCCAGAGTGATTTTATTCCAGGATGAGGAACTAAACATGTAGAGATCATACCACCCACTTTTGTGGCATACTCATTCTATAAGTGCAGGAAGAATCAGAATAGTAATTAAATATTTTTTAAAAGATTTTATTTAGTTATTTGAGAGAAAGAGACAGAGAAAGCGACAGAGAGCATGAGGGGGGAGGAGAAGGAGAAGCAGACTCCACTGAGCAGGGAGCCCCATGTGGGGTTCGATCCTAGGATCCTGGGATTATGACCTGAGCCAAAGGCAGATGCTTAACCTTGACTGAGCCACCCAGGCGCCTCTAATTAAACATTTTTAATATTACATATGTGTTGTATAGTTTCCCTATAAAGAGTAGTAACTTAGAAATGTGAAAAACAAAAATAACATTTAGTTGGAAAGTGAAAGAACTATTGAAAAAGAAAGCTGGATGCAATTTTTTAAATCTGAAGCAGATTTTTTTTTAACAAAATGTTTCTATCTTGGAAAAGTGGTTAGTCAGTATTTTCTCTTTGAGTAACAGAATACCACAGGCATGATGAGAATGAATTTTTGAGTATTTCTTTTTTGAGCCATCTTGTTGCTTAGATTAATGCCAAAAAAGTAAAAAGCCATAAGCACTTTAGGAGTTGTTTAACATGAACTACTAGTCAATTAATCCACTAACATTTTTATGCTGTGTTGTGTAATATTTGCATTTCAAAATTGCAATTTACTCTTATTTTTAATTTCATGTCTAGGGGCGCCTGAGTGGCTCAGTCGCTTAAGTGTCTGCGTTCAGCTCAGGTCATGATCCCAGGGTCCTGGGATTGAGCCCTGCATCGAACTCTCTGCTCAGCGGGGAGCCTACTTCTCTCTCTCCCTCTGCAGCTCCCCCTGCTTGTGCTCTTTCTTTCATACTCTCTCTCAAATAAATAAAATCTTAAAAAAATTTCGTGTCTAAATACTTCTAATAAAAATATATCAAATCTATTAGTCATCCTCCAAAATACAGTGTTTTAAACCCTTAAAGTAACCTGGTTTTGATATTTTTGATGGAAACATTTAAAGACATGACAGGTTACTCTTCCTTATATTACTTCATAAATCAATTACTTCATAGATTATGTTGGCTGTTGCTGTATTATTTTTTTTATAAGTATCTTCCCATATGATGCTATCTATAATGTCTATAACAAAACATAGTTGATGTTATGAGATCTATGGTCATATTACATTTCTTTATATGAAATAACATTAATAAGTCTTCTATTTTTGTGATTTGATACCTAAGCTAAAATTTACAACATCTATTTTTCACCATGGATTTTTTTCACCCTGGATATCTTCTAGCTTGTCCTTCTAGCTTGCAGTTCTATTCCATATCACAACAGGTTGTGATGTGCCATGTGGAGGATCACCATGCTATAATTGAGGTGGTAATAAATATGTCACTTAAGATGTGGTAGTTATAATTTTTCTTTAGAGGTCCTTAATTGGGGCAGTGAACAATCGGGCCATGATTTCCAATATTGTTGCACATGAGACCTCTTTAGATTGAATGAAATTGTTGTGGTTCTCCCACTGAGTTCACAGCCAGTCCCAATGGACGCATTTCAAAGCCTGACAACGGGAATCTAAATTCAGCATGTAAGAACGTGTCCATGAAACAACCCCTCAGGGATCCCAAATTATAGTTGTTCCATCTTGCATTATTCTCAAATTGCTGATATGGCAGACAGCCACACTGTTCAAGGAATAAAAATACCTGTTTATAAATTAAAATGTTAGAGAGTTATTAGGTTCTGTTGTATGATGACCCAACATCCATGAGGGAAAAAAATACATATCTTAAAGTGTATTCTCCAATTTTCATAGAAGAAATGAAGTGCAAGTTTAAATATACAATGCGTTCAAATTAACAGGTTTTTAGCTTAAAAATTAAGTTATATTTCACACACACACAGCACACACACAATAAAGTATATCGATTTAGAGGTCTTAGAGAAATCCTTACTGCTTCTTCCTCTTTTATAGGTAAAGAGGGAATTTCAATTTCCTGGGTCATAAGTCCAGTATTACATCTGCTGTACTGTATGTGTGTGTGTGCATGCACACATGTGTGAACATGCTGTTTCATTTTATACTTGATTTGCACTGAGATCTGTGTGATAAATAATGGTACAAAATTAGTAAAATATAGAAATAATTTTCTGGTTGTTAAACACTGGAAGTTCTATAGTATTCCTTTGTCCTATATCGTGTGTCTCTATTAAAATGGGAAGGGTGCTAATACTCAGTTAAAAAACTTAACGATCAGACTAATGCCAAAAATTCAAAATCCTTTTTCCTATTGATGTCTTTGTGCCTTGAACTGTTTTTCAAACAGTGTAACATATGCAGTGAACTATAAATCACTGAGACAATAAACCACTAAATTTTTAGTAAAAAAAATAGGAGTCCATATCCTATTTTACTTTACAATATTACTCTTTAAAGCCATATTATGAGAGTTAGAAAATTTACTTTTAAATACATAGGGAAAGTTGTACGAAAGATTTTCAATATTTTATTCCAATTTCCCTTCATAATGAGGAGGGAATATTTTAAAATAATGAAGTTTCAGGTTCTTTCAAGATGCTAGGCCTTAGTGTACTCTTCTTTAGATAATTGGTAAAATACTAAAGAATAGAAAGCTATTAACAGCAACCCCATTAATCTTAATAGTGAAAAGGGAAAACAAGTAGAATAAATGCTGACATTTTCTTTTTTTCTTTTTAATAGCTATCAAAGTATGGTGTAAATTGGTGGATTGGACTTCGAGACGAAAGAGCCAATGATGAATTTCGGTATGGACCTAGATCAATTTGCATTTTATTTTGTTTGACAGGTTTTATTTGCAGAATGATTGGACTAGATCTTAGTGATCAATTGTTGAATAGCCTTCAAATATTATCTTTAACTTATAAATTTTCATTTCTCTAACCAAAGGCATGAGTATCTTTTTAATTTAATAAAAATTACCCCAGAACTCCAAGAATGGTGTTGGAGATTGAACATAACAGAATAAAAGAAGACCCTAAAATTCTTAATTTACCTACAGCTGGAGAGATGGAGCACCAGTAATATATCAGAACTGGGACAAAGGAAGAGAAAGATCTATGAATAATCAGAGCCAGAGATGTGGTTTCATTTCATCCATAACAGGTTATTTTATTTATCCATTTTTCAGTTTATAACACAAACTGATAATTTTCAGAAGGCTTAAAGTCTCGTCTTCATTGCATTAGTTCAGTGAGAGGGTTTTGTTTGGCTAGCTTGCTTTATAATTGAATGTGATGAGTTTCATTAGTTTTAAGTGTTGATGATGGCCATTCCTATAGTTAATTCCATTCTTTCATGTTCTTGAAAATGAATTACAACCAGATAAGTCATTCCTCATGAACCAAAACAGCACCAGAAATAGACCCAATGAAACTGGTCAAAAATATGCCTGACAAATACTAGTCTCTAAAAAATTTCAATATGGGCCCATTTTTAAAATCTCTTCATAATAACTCAGTTATAATTGGCCAGAACTTTAACCCCCGTGGAATTTACTTCCACTTTCACATTTAAGAAAATTTTTCATTGAGTTCAGTATTTTTTTTTTAATACCTGGCTTATTAACTGCTTCTTGACATAGAACACCAACTATCTCCAGGCTGTATTTAGAAATACATGTACCTTTAAGATGGGTTTTTTAATTTAATTCAATTCATTAGTACAGTGTTATTTGGGTTGATTTGTCCACTCATATCCATCCCACTCTTTTTATCCTATAAAAGGTAATTATGTTCCTGACCCTTAACAGATTCACAAGGAACCTGTGCCCCAAATCAGGAGAGGGGTAAACACAGAAAGCAATCCTTGGTGTAAGGGCATCTGCAGAGAAAGGAAAGGGAAACCCACATTGTTAATCAGCTCTCTTTTGCCAGCAGGTGTCACAACAGCCTACAGAAAGGCTGTTTTGTGATTCTGGAAGACTAGCAGCTACTCTGCATTGAAAATAGTGTTCCAGCCCTTCCTTCAAAATGCCAACATTTTTTGGCTTATATCCCTCACACTAGAAAACAGAAACTGCCTTTGCAATTTACATGCATCCTTGCCCTATTCTGGGATCTATAACTTGAATGCTAATGAAATGCATTCTATAACCTTTACTCTGAAAATATAGCTCTTCTAAATTAAAATACATTTTCCAGGAGGCTAAGGACTTTGGGATATATCTTCTTGCGGGCATGTCTATGTGTGCCTCTTTTTTTAAGGGTCAGTGTTGAAAAGTGCTTCTTCTTAGAAGTTACTGAGTTAATTTTTCAAAATTATATATTTTCTAAAGAATTATAAATTAGAAATGATCATCTATTGTTTTAGAATTTTTTTCTCCTTATATTGAGTATTTTAAAAGAAAAATATTACTCTACATTCTTTTGTTAACCAAACCAAATATTCTCGGAACTTTAATCAGTTTTGTGATTTCAATTGTAGTATTTTAGTTAGTTGGGGTTTGTTTGTTTGTTTTGCATTTGCAAAACTTCTTCATTCTTGAATTAGATTTACCAATTTAGCACCCTGCTCAGTTTGTTCTTATTACCAGAGAACTCTACCATTAGCAGTTTAGTTCAATTTCTAGATTTAAAAAATTATGATAAACCATTAGCTGTCATAAAAATGTGATGGAGAATGCCTACAAAGAGTCAGCATTGTTTCAGGTCATTTCTAACCCATTTACTCCTCCAGGACTCTGGGCTAGTGAAGAGTGTTCAGTTTCTATGCCTAGCATCTGTAAGCGAAAGAAGGTTTGGGTCATAGAGAAAGAGAAAGATACCCCAAAACAACATGGAACATGTCCTAGAGGATGGCTATATTTTAACTATAAGGTAAACTCATTTTCAAAAAGTTGCCTTTGTTTCTGTGTTGTCGATGTTTATTTTAGAACATAATCAAACAGTGGGTGTGGCTTTAAAAAACCAGGAGTTGTCCATTGGGACCTGGAATTTTTTTTGGTCACAACTTCCAAGAGATTTGAGTTTTCAGTGTAGGTAGGGGCAAACCTCTAAGGAATAAAGAAACAGCCGTGACACCACCCTTCATTTGTATACTTAGTTTTTGCTATTGACACAGTCATTCATTGTGCTGTGTGACTGTTTCATTAGGTGTGATGCATGCAAGCCTGTGTAACTAGGCCCTGCCCCCAAATGAGCTGTCAACTCCAGAGGGTACAGGCTACATCTTCTCCTTTTGTGTCTTCCCTGCCTGAAGCAGGCACAGAGCTCTGCCTGCCTTGTGAATTGACCTACTAATAATGTAACTCAGTCAATGTCATCTTGAGCCTCATGAAGCTGGTGCTTCCATGCAGAATTGAAATTTTTTTTTTAAATTGCCAGTGGGAATATTGTAAACCAGATTTATTATTTCTGATACTGCCTCCAATTAAGGCCAAGACTTTCCCTCCACTCCTTATGTTTTATAATAAAATAACTTTATAGGCCTTAGGTGGAAGTAATTAAAATGCATCCCAAATTTTAAATGTTTCATTCTTTGATAAAGGAAAAACCCAAACTGTGTCATGATTTAATATGTTAATATGAAATTGCTCTTTGACTGTGGACAGCCAGTTTTCAATCTGTATGTTCAGTTATATTTGGCAGAGCCTTCTCTTCTTTGTGATCCTCTTCTCATTGTTAATTTGTGATATGGGGCCATTTGGATTTTACATGTATTTGTTGAGCACCTAATACATATTTGGCATTGATTTTTTTAAATTGTGGTAAAATTCACATAATATAGAGTTTACCATCTTAACCATTTTTAAGTGTGTAGTGCAATATTATTAAGTATATTTACATTGTTATTCAATGAATCTGCAGATCTGTTTCATCTTGTAAAACCAAAACCCTAAATCCAATAAGCAATAATGCTTCACTTCCCCTCCCCCAACCCCTGGCAAACACCATTCTACTTTCTGTTCCTATTAATGGGACTATTTCAGATACTGCTGGTAAGTGGAATCATACATTATTTGTCCTTTTGTGGCTGCTTTATTTCACTAAGCAAATTGTCCCCCAAGTTCATCCATGTTAGAGCATGTGTCAGAATTTCCTTCCCTTTGGAGACTGAATAATATTCCATTATATGTATATACCATATTTTTTTTTCCACTCGCCCATTGATGAACATTTGGGTTTCTGCCACCTTGTGGCTAAGAATTTTTGCTGGGTGATTTAATATATATATCTTATTTTATTGAATTTTTTTAAATACACAGAATTGTTATCCCATCTTATATATGAGAAGACCAAGACTAGTAACATTGTGTGTTTTTTATGAAACTTCACAGCAAATAAGTGTCAGGTTGAGAATCAACCTCAGGTTTTCTGACCTTGAGTCTGGTAGTCTTGTCTCTTTCCTACAGTTGCCATTTTGTATAAGAATTTAAGAATTACCAGACCAGGATAGCCCCATGACACAATCTGGTGGCACTCTGAGATATCTTCTAAAATATAGTTGTTTTCTAAAATTTTATGGTATTGAGATACATTTTTAATAGTTAATATTTTCTGTTTGATTCCTATTTTCCCAAACTATAAAATCTCCCAGTTATACATTTCAATATAAAAAATGTAGCACGTATTCAATAGAACACTGAGTATTACCAAATCTTGAATTAAAACCTTTGACAATTAGTTCTTTTTAAAGCTATTCTACTGTGGTAACATATATTTAAAATAAAATATGCCATTTTAACCATTTTTAAGTGTACAATTTAGTGGCATTAATTACATTCACAATGTTGTTCAACCATCCCCTTTATTTCCAAAACTTATCATCATCCCAAACAGAAACTCTGTAACTATTAAGCAATAACTCCCAATTCCCCATCCCTCCGGCCCATGGTGAGTTCGAATCTATTTCCTATCTCTGTGAATTTGCCTGTCTAGATATTTCATATAAGTGAATTCATACAATATTTGTCCTTTTGTTTCTGGCTTATTTCATTCTGCATAATGTTTTCAAAGTTTATCCATTTATAGCATGTATCAGAACTTCATCCCTTTTTATGACTGAATAATATTCCATGCCACATTTTGTTTTTCCTTTCATCTGTTGATGGACTTAGGTTGTTTCCACTTTCTGGTTGTTGTGAATAAATCTGCAGTGAACATTGGCATACAGCTACCTACTGGAGTCCCTGTTTTCACTTCTTTGGGGTATATGCCCAGGAATGGAATTGCTACATCATATAGCAATTCTATGTTTAACTTTTTGAGGAACGAGTAAACTGTTTTTCACATGGCTGAACCATTTTAAAAGCTTGCCAACAGTGTATGTTAGCAATTTCTCCACATCTTTTTTTTTTTAAGATTTTATTTCTTTATTTGAGAGAGAGAGAGAGCACAAGCAGGGGGGCAGCAGAGGGAGAAGTGGACTTCCCACTGAGCAGGGACCCCAACTCAGGCTCGATCCCAGGACCCTGGGATCATGACCTGAGCCAAAGGCAGCCTCTCAACCAACTGAGCCACCCAGGTGCCCCTGGGTTGTTTGTCTTTTTATTGTTGAGTTGTAGGAGTTCTTTATATATTCTAGATATTAAGGTCCTATCAGATACATGTTTTGCAAGTATTTTCTCCCATTCTATAGGTTACCTTTGCTAATGTCCCTTGATGCACAAAAGCTTTAATTTTACGGAAGTCCAATTTATCTAATTTTTCTTTTGTTATTCATGCTTTTGGTGCCATGTCTAAGAATAGGTTGCCAAACCCAAGGTCATAAAAATTTACTTCTTATGTTCCTTCTAAGAAGTTTATGGTTTTAGCTCTTATATTAAGGTCTTGGTCTATTTTTAGTTAATTTTTGTGCCTTGCAACTATTAGAACAGATGAATCCTGGAGTGTTCTGTATGGAACAGCCACAAAGGAATACCTATCTTATCTCAAAATCACACTTTTGCTGCAGACAGTGAGCAACCCCAAAGTATGAACACAACTGTTTTAGTTACTAATCATAAATTCTCCCATATATAAAGGAGGACATTTTAAGGAAATTCACAGCAAATCAAATCCTTGGCATTAGAGAAATAATTCTCAGAAACTCTCAAAGGTTGTTTTTGGCTCAGGCCTTGGTTATTATCCTCCCCCCAAACTTTTATATCTGCACAGCTTAACTCCAGTCCATGTTTTCTCCTGTGTAAGCAGATTGAGTATCTATGTATAGAGGCATGGTAGCAGTGATGGTGGAGCAGACTCCAGGCAAGGGAGCAAATGAATGCCTCCTTTGAAAGGAATAGAAAGGGGCATGAGTAAAGCGCAAACACATACATGAGAGGAGAAAGACTTTCTGAAGCAGGATTGGAGCAGGATTAAAAACCCTTGTGTAGCTCAAAGTTTAAAAAAATCTTTATTGATAATTAACAGCTAGATTAGTGGTTAACAGCCCTGATCAAATATTTAGAATCACCCCTGAGCTTTTTAAAAATGTCAAGGTGCAGGGGACATCCTAAAGATTCTGATTTAATTGATCTGCATCAGATCTACGTATCAGTGTTTTGTTTTTGTTTTTTTGCAAATTATTTCCATATTAGTCAGAGTTTCACTTTTTTTTTTTAAAAGATTTTATTGATTTACTTGACACAGAGAGAGAGACAGCTAGAGAGGGAACACAGCAGGGGGAGCAGGAGAAGCAGGCTCCCGGCTGAGCAGGGAGCCCGATGCGGGGCTCGATCCCAGGATCCTGGGATCATGACCCAAGCCGAAGGCAGACGCCCAACGACTGAGCCACCCAAGTGCCCCTACGTATCAGTGTTTTTTAAAAGCTCCCTCAGTTATTCAACTGTGCAGCCAATATTTGCCCAGCAACACAACAGTTGCACAACTTAGTCTTTGAATCATCCAGAGGATTTGACTAATAAATACAGTCACAGCAGGCTACCTGAAAAAGGTGATCTTTTGCAGAGTGAGGTTACAGGGTCCCCAAGTGTCCCCACCCACCACGCCTTCCCGTGCATAGAGATGGCTAAAATCCCACCATTGGAGTCTCACTCCTTTGCTTTGACTCTAGTTTTTTAAGGGAAATATTTCTGAGATTGTCTCATCTGTCATCTACACCTTGGAATAAGTGGGCTTATCAGATCATTAGAAAAACTGATAATAAGAGGATTGAAAACGGAGAGGAGGAGAGCCCCATGGGGATGGCTCCCCTGATTAACAAAGTTACAGAAGGAAAACTGGGAGGTAGCAATGACAGATATTATTCACATCACAGTTCTGAATGAGCATCAGTATGGTATGTCCCACTAAATTTTGCTTCCTGTTTGTCAATTTCCTAGGGCTAATTTTTGGGGTTTTTTTTTCTAAGAAAAAAGTCCTAGTTGGTTGACTGATTATCCACCATTAAGAGTTTTAAAACTGAGCTACCAGAAGTTAAGCATCTTTTCTAATGTTTCATCAGTTATTTTCTCTGTGATGATATATGAGTTTTGACCCGGGATTACCCCTAGAAGAGTGTGTCATCTAAGATACTTATCACAGCAGAGCTGTAAGCAGAAAAAATTCTAAGTGTGCATGTGCTTGTGTGTGTATTAGGTTAACTCTTACGCTTCTACTCACACATTTTTTTAAAGATTGACTGATTGATTTGAGAGAGAGAGTATAAGCGAGGGAGAGAGAAAGAACAGGAGCGGGGGCATGGGGGGAAGAGCAGAGGGAGAAGCAGACTCCCCGCTGAGCTGGGAGCCCGATGCGGGACTTGATCCTGGGACTCCAGGATCATGACCTGAGCTGAAGGCAGACGCTTAACTGACTGAGCCACCCAGGTGCCCCTACTCACACATTTTTATACAAGAATCTGGATTGAGTGCTAATGGCTGCTTTGCACATCTAGTTTGGGATTAGCCAAAATTTGATTTCATGCACAACATAGCTTTTCCTTTAAAAAATACTCTCCTCTTTTCTAAAAAAAGTATTCACATTATTAACACTTTATTCATTCAACTATGTTGGATGTTGATAATTTGATGGTGAGGAAAAACAAACACAATCCTTTCTCTTTTGTAGCTTACAGACTTGAGGGGGAACAAACATTAGTAAACCAATCAGGAGTATAACTCTAACTGTGACACATGCAATGAAGGGGAGTTACATAGTTCTCCAAAAGTTTTTAACTGGAGAACTTGACTGAGGTGGTCAGAAGGACAGGAAGCATTAAAAGCGGGGGGAGGGGTGGTACAGCATGTGCTAAAGTACTGTGGTGAGAGGGAATGGACTTATTGAAGAAACTAAAGGAAGCATAGAGAACTAGAGTGTGAAAAGTGATGAAAAGAGTTTCTGTTTTTATCCTAAGAACAATAGGAAACCCCTCAAGGGTTTTAACGAAAGAAGGACATGATCAGCACTGAGTTTTGAAAAGAATCATTCAAGTTGCAATGGCAAAGACAGATTGGAGGAAGGTAAGGATGAGGAAGGTTTTAAGAGTGGTTGGGAAGCTACTGTAATAGTCCAGGGAAGAGAGAAGTAGTTTGGGCTAAGATAGTGAAGGCTGTGAGGTGGCAGGAATGGGAAGAATGAGAAAGGACTCTGAGAAATGGGATGTATGTCTAAATGGTAACTGAAAGGGGGATGGAGTGGGAAGGCAAGGAGACTCCCAGTTTTCAGGCTTATATAAATACATGGCTGACTTTGCCAGTCAACATCAGTAAGAACACTGGAAAAGGACGAAGTTTGGGAGAAAGGTCATAAATTCCACTTCCAAATTTTGAACTGGAAATGACTTTGAGATAAAGAATTTATATTCAAAACTTGTTTGCAATACAGTAGAATATCCTTAATTCACAGCAATAATAAGAGATGCATTAAACTTGATCACATTTTGTAAATTAGTAAGTAAATAAACAATTTAAAATTAAGAGTGCTGTACTTCATCTTACTGCTTTGCTTTAATTACTAATGACACCATTTCAAACTGTGTTAGTAAATATGTTTTTGGGTTTTTTAAGAAACAATGAAGTTGTGGGAATAAGAAATAATCTAGTAAATCGTGGCTGAGGCCAACGTGGGGGGATGGGGGAGTAGGAGGGTAGGATGGGGGCGTGTGTGTGTGTGTGTGTGTTTTCTGGAAAGATTTATTGAGCTAACTAAACCAATGAGGTTCACTGGTATTTATGAATGGTTCATTAGTGTGACTATCTGAACACAAGGTGAAGAATTCACATTAAATGATAAGACTGCCTAATAATTAGTGTGTGCCACTCTCTGGAATTTGTAATTAGAGAAAAGAGACAAAATGAAAGGAAATAGATAAAGGAATAGTTGTTATAAAATTAAAATCCTTTAAAGCCAATTCCATTTCTTTGTGAAGCAAACAAGGTAAAGAGGACCAGAAGAATTGAAAATGTACTTCCTCTGTTAGTTGGTAACTCCAGGCTACATCAGTGTTTCTGGTTTTTATCCTAAAAACAGTGGACAATCCCTAATAGTTTTATTTATTTATTTATTTATTTATTTATTTATTTATTTATGGAAAGTCCCTAATAGTTTTAAACTAAAGAGTGACATGATCAGGATTAAGTTCTGAAAAGAACTACCTGGGCACTATTGACATTTGGAGCTGGATAATTCTTTGTTATGAGGGGACTGCCCTATGCATTATAGAATGTTTAGCAGCATCCCTGTACTCTACTCACCGATAGCAAAGCTCCCCCCTTGAGCTATGACAACCAAAAATGTCTCCAGACGTTATTGAATGCTCCCCTTTGGGAACCACTGGACTAAATCTAGAATGCTTGAGAATGTCATATGACAACTAGTTAGGGGTCTATTGGCTTTTATTATGTTCCATAAATATTTCCTGGGGAACTTCTTTGTTGCGATGGTCAGAGAAGAGCAAAGAAAAGTCTCTCTGCTTTTTAAGGAGTTTATGATGATGGGGAAGGGTGGGGGGACTGACAAATATAGAAATTAAAGGATGAGGAAAGATGTCATTCCAAAGGAGGATGGGGAAGGATGCTCTCTCAAGTGTAGGCTTCCACACTAGCCTAGAATTGCCTTGTAACTGGGGTTTCCTTGGTGGCAAAATCTTGAGATCTAACCTATCAATGAATGGGTTTGCCTGTGTTCATTGATAAGAGAATAGTCCACATGGAATATCCTTTGTATACAGTCTCTCCTGACTTCTCTGGAAATTTGCCTGATCCCCTATAGCCTGTCTTTTCTCTCTCTCCCTCTCCCCTGACTCCACCTGGCCCTATTAACATGTTTAAATTTCACTGACCCTACCTGACCTGTCCAGTAGTTACTGTGCCACTTCTCACCCCATAATGACTAACCCTGCCATGCCACAGACATGATTCTCTCATGAGTAACAATCAATTCTCACTGCCAAATCCCACAGACTTCTGTTTCTCCTTCCTAGGTTTCCTTGGTTCTGCCCTTGCTTCCCTTCCAACTGTGCTCATGTTTTTCTTCTCTGGCTCTTCTTTGTGGACTTAAAAACCACATCGCTAACTCAAGTAATTAGTGAATTTAAATACCTGATGCGGTTTGATTCCCTAGTATTCCTCTCTCACTTAAAGGGAGGAAGTGTATTTGTAAATAAAACTGAACTAAGCTATTAATTGCTACCTCCAAATTTAAAAAAAAATTAAATCTACCACTATACCCTTTGCAATCAGGCTGGCTCCTTTTAAAAAGGAATACTGTTTTTCACTGAGCAGAAGACATTGTTTTGATATCCTGCATAACAAAGCACATCCTTGCTTCTGTTCCTGCCGGATACAAATGCATGCAAATATTGACTTACCCTAAAAGCCGGTCCTCTGTTTTACTTTCATACCTTTGGAGCAGCTCAAAGAAAAAAAAATGAGTCATTTCTGCTTCAGAAAATTATAAAGAATTCTAAAGTTTGATCCCCAGTGTCTTTGGGAGGTTTTTAACTCATTTAGGAAAATATGGAAATGAATGCTTTTTTTTTTTGGACATTTTTTTAAAAGTGCCTTTTGGTGAAAATCCCCAAAGACCCAAGTGATTGGAAGAACTGGACATCCGCTCAAGATTTCTGTGTTGAAGAAGGGGGAGCACTAGTCGCCATTGAAAATGAGGTGGAGCAAGGTAGAGTACTCCATGTTCAATCAAGCAAAAATAACTTTTTTATTCAAATATTTATTATAATGTTCCCCCCAAATACTAATATTTCCAAATCCACATTTTAAGTATTATATTGCTGATGACACATAAATTTTCAGTTTAACCTATGAGGCTTATATCATGACATCTGTAAAAGTACATTGCATTGGGGGCGCCTGGGTGGCTCAGTTGGTTAAGCGACTGCCTTTGGCTCAGGTCATGATCCTGGAATCCCTGGATCGAGTCCCGCATCGGGCTCCCTGCTCAACAGGGAGTCTGCTTCTCCCTCTGACCCTCCCCCCTCTCATGCTCTCTCTCTCTCAGTCTCTCTCTCTCAAATAAATAAATAAAATCTTTAAAAAATAAATAAATAAAAAATAAATAAATAAAAAAAGTACATTGCATTGCTTATAAACTGCTGATTTTTGGAGGTTTTTGTCTCCCCAGTAGTAGTGGAAAAAATAAGGACATATTTATGATCTGTATTTCAAAATGGCTAACATAATCTGAGGTATATTCTTTTATAATTGCATGGTATAATTTTTAGATCCCTTTAGATTTACCTGTACACTTGTATTTGATATTTAGACAATTGTATACTTCAGTTTAAGTATAGTAGATAAATCCTCTTTTGTTTAGAAAGGCACTGAATGAACACTGGAAATAGTTTTGTTAATAATATGATGAAATCCCAGGTTTAGCCAGCTAGTGTGTGTCAATTTAAACTGAAACAGAAGTGAAAGAGACTGCATTACCCTAATAAGAACAAAGTAACCAATTCCTACAACTGATTGGTAATTAAGTTTTGCTGTCATTTAAATAGAATCATAACTATAAACAGAATTCTATGATTACCCAAATGGTTTATATGGTATTAAATTTGATAATGTATTCCTGTTTTTCAGCTTTCATTACTATGAATCTTTTTGGTCAGACCACTAATGTGTGGATAGGGTTACAAAATGATAATTATGAAAAATGGGTAAATGGAAAGCCTGTGGCATATTCTAACTGGTCTCCATCTGATGTAATAAACGTAAGTTTTCAGATTTATTTTTTAGAAATCATTTTACCAAAAGATCCTATTTGATACTTACTAAAGTATTTTTTACTTGTTATACCTTATAGGCATAAATTTATATTAGTCTGTTATTAATATATTAATTTTAATAATGTAATTACATATCATTTTCATGTGTTCCATTAGTGTAATTACTATCATAATAATTATTTACCTTGTGGGTTATGAAGTGATCTGTGAACAGGTTTATTAAACGCAAATAAAGGAATAATACTGTTTGAATTTTTTAAATTGTCCTTGATAAAAATGTCAGTGTTATAATAATGCTATATGTTACCATTTTTTAAAAAAACATATGTATCTTTTTAAAGATTCCAAGTCATAACACCACTGAAGTTCAAAAACATATTACTCTCTGTGCCTTGCTATCAAGTAATCCTAATTTTCATTTCACTGGAAAATGGTATTTTGAAGACTGTGGAAAAGAAGGTCATGGGTTTGTTTGTGAAAGAATACAGGGTAAGAAATATTTGCTTTTTTATTCCTTTCATCTCTATGCCCCACTCTTCTCTTCCATATTTGTTTTACACACTGTATGACTGTCATTTTCATAATTAACAGTGCCAGGCACTTACTTTTTGAGTTTTACATATATTTACTCATTTAATTTCCACTACCCCAGGATTATACTCTTTAGTGGGGTTCCAAAGACTACAGAGACCACTTGAGAGATGATCACATTTATGCATCCATTTGGCCATATTAAATGGCTTAATTGCTTTGTTCTGGATTTATGAGTATATTCAGGTAATAAAAAGACATTAAGAAAATGTTGGAAAAGAATCAGAGAAATAAACAAACTAATATTTCCCACTTTCTTGGAAACCTAAAAATGCCTTCTGTGTCTAAATATGGCATGTAGCATGTTTCTAGAGCTGATGATCAGAACCCCCAGTGACTTTTGGTGTGAAATACAAAAGCCATACTATTACACACAGTCAGGGATGTTGATGATCAGGGCAGATGCACTGTAAGTGACCTTGAATAATAAAAATAAAAACAGCAAGAACAACAACAATAGCTCATACCTCATGCTTTCTCCAAGTGCAAGGCTTCCCTGTACCATGCTACTCTGGAAGACCATAGTGTGTGTCTGGAGCTGGGTGGAACTCTGGGCAGGCTGTTGTATATATACTTATTTGGAATATTAATTATACTTCTTAGTGTTGCATGCATGTGAACTCTTTAATGCACTAAGTATCATCCCCAGAAAAGCAATTCCAGGGAAGCCCCATTTCCTAATTCACACTCATCACTTAAACATAATAATAGTCAGGAACTGAAAGAAGATACCCAGTCAGTTATAGCAAGAGTATTATGAGAAGAGTGGAGTTTTGTAGGGAAAGAAATATCAATATACCATGTACTTACACACTTATGATATACCTGGCACTGTGTCTTGGCTTCAGAAGCATTAAGGCATGAAAGCCTCCCAACAATGCTAGGATAAGTAGGTAAAAGTCTCCCCATGTAACAGATAAGAAACTTGAGGCTTAGAAAAAGTAAATAACATATTCGAGTTCTCATAGTTTTGGGACTAACAATGTATACATTCTTTTAGACATAGTATAAAGTGGCTGTGGTTGAGAGTATAAGCACTGGAGTTCACATCCTACTTGATTTCCACATCTGTCAAGTGGGATAATTACTATCTCACAGACTCTGTGTATATACAATGCTTAGCAAGTTGCCAGCATATTAACAAATGATAGCTGTTTCTATTATTATTTCCAAAAAATATGTTATTTAACTACACAAATTCCTTTTTTGAAATTATAATTATAATAACGTATTTAAACTGATACATCAGCGGATTATCGTTTCAACATATAGCCAATATAAAAAATATTAATGAGATCGCTTACATTCTTTTTTTTTTTTTTTGTAGTAGGTTGTTGAGATCCAGAGAGTATTTCACAACACATCTCCATTTAGACAAACTACATTTCAAATGCACAATAGTGCATTTGCTACCATATTGGATAGTGCAGGTCTGGAAGAAGAATGTAACTACACAAATTCTTGTAGCCTACAATAAATGCCCAAATTCTGCTCCACTTCTTTATTTGCCATATAAATATGTGCTTACATTGGACTTAGAGCCTAAAGTCTAACTGCCTGAAAGATAAAGATTTCTAAATAACAGGGAGACAAGGACAAAGTCAAGAGCCCCAATTTGGGATTTGGTTTCCAATAGATCTTTCTTTTTTAGGTCAATGGGTGGCAAAATCATGTTGCTCAAAATCACTTATGTTTTGAAGTTTGATGGAATCAATTACACATGGAGAATTCTTTTTTTTTTTTAAAGATTTTATTTATTTATTTGAGAGAGAGAATGAGAGAGAGCACATGAGAGGGGGGAGGGTCAGAGGGAGAAGCAGACTCCCTGTCGAGCAGGGAGCCCGATGCGGGACTTGATCCAGGGACTCAAGGATCATGACCTGAGCCGAAGGCAGTCGCCCAACCAACTGAGCCACCCAGGCGCCCCACACATGGAGAATTCTATATGTGTGAAAATACAGATATATAATGGGGGAAACAGTCAAATTGGTATTTTGTCACATATATGAAAAATTTCAGTTACCTTAATCTTACCAATTATTATCATTTTAAAAAATCTACTATTTAAAAAATCTACTATGGTATTATACTGGGTCTTTTTTAAAAAATAACCTTAGAATTGGTACATAGGCTGTGATGAATAAACAGGTATAAAAGTATACTCCATCACAATTTGGTTGGTAAATAGGTTAATTTCACTTTGGTTTTGCAATATGAACCACTATTATATTGAGGTCACATTTTCAGGTAAAAGTCAAATTCCCATTTTGCCATTTTTACTTGGCATAAAGAACCAACATTTACTGAGCACCTGCTGTGTTCCAGGTACTATGTTCTAAATACTGAGTTCCAATTAGTGCCCTATATGGTTATCTCTGAATCCTACCCACACCCCTCTAAGGAAGGCCTTACTCATTTCTTACAGAACAAAAATTTGAGGTTTGGAGGCATTACTTATTTTCCCAACGTCACTTAGCCCTGTATAGTCAGGACTGGGCTTGATTCCCAGGTCTTCTGACCTATCTACACTTCATCATGCTCCTTTCCAACCCCAAATGTAATAAAACCAATAAACAGGGATATATTCCAGCTACTTTGGATCAGACAGTTCAGAAATTCTTGTCTTATTTTTCTGTTTTAGGTTTCCTAAAATAAGCCTATCCTAGTACATAATATAGTATAGAACAAAAAGGCCAAGTGCACATACTAAAGAGGAAATATCTTGCGTGTAAAAACACGGGCTTAGCTGTCACATAATCTGTCACTTGTGAAAAAGAAAGCACCACTGATCATGTCTGGGAAAACCTTGCCTTTTAATTTGTAAATCTCGACTCTGATAGGTGACATATTAATAGTAAGTCTTTATGGAACTGTGTATATTTTAAGTGTTTATTAATGTAACTTTTAAACTTATTTTTAGAATTTATACATGTAAACATTAAACATGATAGCAACTATCATGCAATCTCAAATTTAATAAAGGGTGGTATTTGAGAATATGCACTTGTAAAATTATGTCTGCAACATTGTATATGATGACATAATATATGTCAATATTCTCTTAGTAAGTATTAAGTTCTGCCAGAGCAGTATGTGTTAGGCCGGGTGTAGGGAGTGGAATAAAACCTGCCTAAGGAGATCAGTTCCATCAAAAAGTGGTCAGTTTAAAAAGGGACAGTAAAAAAAATAGGAAATCTAGAAATGGTTAACTATGTGTATATTTTTATTTAATTTTAATTTTTTTTAAAGACTTTATTTATTTATTTGACAGAGACACAGCAAGAGAGGGAACACAAGCAGGGGGAGTGGGAGAGGGAGAAGCAGGCTTCCCACTGAGCAAGGAGCCCGATGCGGGGCTTGATCCCAGGACCCTGAGATCATGACCTGAGCCGAAGGCAGATGCTTAGTGCTTGAGCCACCCAGGTACCCCTATATGTGTATACTTTTAAAGACACTCATGCATTAAATTTCCTAAACGTTCTCATTCTTTAGCATCACCTATGCTTTCAGGTATTTATTCTCATTTTGAAATAGTTCTGGGGTGGAAAACTCTGATGTTAACCACAGAATGGACCATTATGACAGGGATCCAAACTAAGCTTTGCCTCCCCTCTTTCTCAACCAGATGCTAAAAATGATTTTTGTTGTTCTTGTTCTAGATCCCTCTGGACACAGCATAAATACATCTGATATGTATCCAGTCCCCAATACCTTGGAATATGGGAACAGAACTTACAAAATAATTAATGCAAATATGACTTGGTATACAGCAATAAAAACCTGCCTAATGCATGGAGCAGAATTGGCCAGCATTACAGATCAGTATCACCAGTCCTTCCTCACTGTTATCCTCAACCGGCTAGGACATGCCCACTGGATTGGACTATTCACTGCAGATGTAGGTATCTTAAATCCCTTGGAACATCCCTGCATAAGTAAATTTCACATCTACCTCCTTAGTGATATGGCAACTGAAATTAATACCAAAAAATTCCCAGAAATAATAGTAAAGGTAACATTTAAGTAATTGGTTTATAGAATAACTACTGACCAACCTTATGAAGAGCCTATGACTACAAATTAAAAGTATACCTTTTTAGAGTATACAACCACTTGCCTAATTTCTGGGAATTAATGTCCTTCAAAGATTCTCTGAAAATTTCTGGGTATCTGGGGATACTGCCTCATGTGGGCAATGGAACACCTCTTAAACTCAAGCACCTGCATTTGAGTAATTTGTTGCATTTAAGAAATCCCCTAGAAAAATGGATCATGCTTCCTGCCTAGAAATGTGATTATTAATTAATTCAGTACCCCCTTGGAATTTAACACATGGGTTTTCTCTCCCTCTAAAAATGTATTTTGGAAAGTAAGACCTTTTTAGTTTTCTCTTTTTTTAAGTAAAAGTATTATATACTCAAAGTAGTGAAAAGTAAAATCTATCTATTCTTATCCCAACCTCTGGTTCTACTACCCAAAGATAATCACTTGTAAACAGTTCCTTGTGTGTCATTTAGAAATTTTCTACTTATACACATATATACACATAATGAATGAATATCTATATTGTTTTTCAAGTACAAATGAGGTCATACTACATGTGCTGTCCTTAAACTTGCTTTTTGTTTAATATGCCTTATACAGCTTTCCACGTCAGCACATAAAAATCCAACACATTCTTTGGGAGAGCACCACATAAGGATATAGCATACCATTCTCCTCTGAATAGAAATCTGGATTCTTCTCAGTTTTTCACAATTACAAATAATACAAACATCTTTGTGCAAGTTGGATAAATTCCTAGAAGTGAAATTGCTAAGCACACTTTAAATTTTAAGAAAGAGTGCCATATTGCCCACCAAAAGTTCTGATTTACATGCCAACAACTATGATCACATGTCATTTTTTCATATCATTATCAATACTGGGTATTATCAAAATTTTAATCCTTGCCATTGGGATAGGTGAGAGAATGGCATTTTATGGTTGTTTATTGTAGTTTTGCATTACATAATGTTTTAACATCATGTAGTCAATTTTGCATTATGGCCTCTGGATTATGTATCAGACTTGAAAAGATTTTCCCCACATCAAGAGCATAAAATATTTAGCCAAGTTCTCTTTAGCACTTACATTTTCAATTTTATGTATGAATCTTTGATCAATCTGAAATTTGTTTTGGTGTCAAGAACAAGATATTGATCAACTTCACTCTGATGGCTTACTGGGAAATTATGGTGGCAGGGAACCAAGGATTCCCAAAAACTAAAAAAGATACTATTGTGACAGGTATTTCTTTTTTTTTTTTTTTAAATGTTTTATTTATTTATTCATGAGAGTCAGAGAGAGAGAGAGGCAGAGGCAGAGGGAGAAGCAGGCTCCCCACCTAGCAGGGAGACCAATGCGGGACTTGATCCAGGACCCTGGGATCATGACCTGAGCCGAAGGCAGACGCTTAACCATCTGAGCCACCCAGGCGCCCGACAGGTATTTCTTTTTGTCAGGCCATATTCACAAGCTGTCCTAGACCCCCTGAAAAATAAGTCTAGGGGCGCCTGGGTGGCTCAGTCGTTAAGCGTCTGTCTTCGGCTCAGGTCATGATCCCAGGGTCCTGGGATCGAGCCCCACATCGGGCTCCCTGCTCAGCGGGAAGCCTGCTTCTCCCTCTTCCACTCCCCCTGCTTGTGTTCCCTCTCTCGCTGTGTGTGTCTCTCTCTGTCAAATAAATAAATAAAATCTTTTAAAAAAAAGTAAGTCTAGATGTGGGAATATAAATCTATGTGTGAAGTAAGGGCTGCTCAAACAGCATTGGGTAATGCCACCAACAGTCCTAGCAAGGAAATTATGGCTCAATTTCCCTCCACAGAATGGTCTTAATTTTGACTGGTCAGATGGAACCAAATCTTCCTTCACTTTTTGGAAAGATGATGAGTCATCCATCTTGGGTGACTGTGTTTTTGCTGACACCAGAGGGCGCTGGAGTAGCACAGCCTGCGAGTCATTTCTTCAAGGAGCAATTTGTCATGTACCTACTGGTAGGTTCAGTTCTATTCAACTCAATAAATACATACTGGGAACCTACTGTGTGCAAGGCACTGTGCTAAGCAGGAGCTATGAGTAAGAGTAATAAGAAGTATCTGTCCTCAAGAAGCCTCTGGTCTGGTAGGTGCTGTTCAAACAAATAACTATTATACCAGGCAGGGCTACCAAATGATGGGAAAGAGGTAGTAAGTGTTGTGGGGGTTAGCAGGAAAGAGAACACATCATATCCGCTTGAGAATAAGTAGAAAGACTTCTTGAAGGACATGACTATGGAGACTGGCCTTGAAGAATAGATGGGATGTAGTCAGACAATGATGGGACATGGAGAGGCCTTCTGAGCAGAAAAGTTTGGGCAAAGACATGGAAGGAAGAAAGGACTGAACATGTATAAAGCAAAGCTGGTGTTGATATTTGCCTGCATGGCAGGGTACCAGTAAGAAGAGGTGGGAGATCAGGCTAGAAACCTGCATTAAGAGCATGTATGAAGGAAAAGCTAATTCTGCTTCTAAAACACCGTAAAAGTTATCCTTCCCTTTTCAATAGCATTGTATTTGTTGAGTGTTTAAGAAGTGTCAGACACTAGCTCATTTAAACTTCTTTGTAGGGACACACTGGTTGGATCAGTCAGTAGAGCATGCAACTCTTAATCTCAGGGTCAGGAGTTTGAGGCCCATGTTGGGTATAGAGATTATTTAGAAGAAAAAAATTTTTAAAAATAAATTTCTCATGTAAGAAAGATGTTGTTGTTAGCTCTCTTTTTATAGATAAAGAAACCAAAGTGTGAGGAGGTTAGGTAACATGCCCACAGCCATACACAATTAGGATCTCAGCATGGATTTGACTCTCATGCTTGACCTCTAAAGCAAAGTCCACCTGAAATGTCCCTTAGTTAAGTATTATGTTTTGTTATGCTTTGTTACTTTACTGAATGCATTATTTTTCTCTCATAGGTTGATTGGCTGGTGAGGATTTTCTAAATCTATAATATTCAGCACTGCACAGATCACATTTTGTACATTTGGAAGTGCCTCTTGCTGACTTCATTCAGTTTCCAGTATTTCCATGAATCACATCCCCCAGTTTTTCCAACCTTTAGGATACCAATTATAAACATGAAAGACAGCAGCACCCATGCAGCACCCAAACTAAGCCTAAGAAGCTACGCATTAATACACCCTGTTATGTGTAGGTAAAGATTATCTTTGCCAGAAATGCTACAAACCAGTCTTGGTTTATAATCATTTTTATTAAACCCACTCTTTCAGAGTATTATCATGAAAATCTCATTACACATATTTATCTTAGTCTGTCATAGAATTTAGTGCAATGTTTATTTTAATAAATGAACCCAGTCATCACCCTAAAATCATAACTGATTTTTGTTCGTAGAAACAAAACCATATGGACATCCAGAGTTGTGCTCAGAAACTTCTATTCCCTGGATAAAATTCAAAAGTAATTGCTACAGTTTTTCTACAGTCCTAGACAGTATGAGTTTTGAAGCTGCTCATGAATTTTGCAAAAAGGAAGGTAATTCTTTTGTGATGGTAAAATGCTTTCAATGCATTCCTTCTTGACATTTCAGTAAACAATATGGTTTTCTTCATTTGTCTGACTATTTAGTGACTTTAGGAGCAACCAAAAAATTGAAAAGATAAATACGATTGAATTTGCTTGTTTGGGGATGGTTTATCTATGAAATTCAATATCCAGGATAGAATTTGAAAGCCTAAGATGACGTCTCAGAATACTACACTTTCCCAAGAAAATGTTCCTTTTGAATGCATTTGAATTATAAATTTTTAAAGTTCCCTAAAATTAATATTCTATGCTTTGACTTCTTAAGTACAACTTTGTATCTTTTAATAAATGTGGTATAATTTTTAATCAAAAATCACTTATTTACAATAGAAATTTTCACTCTGCAAAGACTGAGCTTTACAAATTATGGTGGTATAGGAGACATTTTTTAAATTGTATTACACATAAACACAAATACTTATTTACTGCTTATTTCTTTTATAGGATCTAATCTTTTAACAATCAAGGATGAGGATGAAAATTCATTTCTCCTAGAAGAGCTTTTTGCTTTTGGTTCTTCTGTCCAGATGGTTTGGTTGAATGCTCAGTTTGATGGTGACAGTAAGTGATTTGGGTAGAGAAGAGGAGAGGGCATAAATAAATACATGGTGGTCAAGGTTGATGAAAATGGCATCTGCAAACCAGAAAGCTCTTCTTGGATACATTTGCTGTGAAAAATAGCATGAATCCTAAAGCCATTTCTTCCAAAGACAATATTGCTAACCCTTTTCTATACCCTTGTGTCCCTTTAAATAATCCTACAATACCAAAAATGAAAACAAGCAAACAACAAGTTTATCTTATACTTACCCTCACATCATGAAGATTCTTGGATGGAAACTTGTGTTCACAGACTTAGTCATAGACAACAAAACCCTATTTATCTGAAAATACCCAGATTATTCCTCAATGTTATAAAAGCACAACAGATTTCAGGGATAGTTTCAGGGATAAATTGTGCTATTAAAATTATTTGCTTCTCATAAAAACCAGGGTTTGTGATCAAATGAGAGCATGGCATTCTTCTCTCTATGTAACTGATGGTTGTTGAAAGTACTTATAAAGAAAATTATCTTAATTGGTATGGAGAACTTATTACAGTGGTATACCAAGGTGGAGGGTGGGTCCACTCTGATAAGGGGGAGTGTTTCAATCACAGATATTGTTTAGAATTTCTAGTCCATTGTGACAATAAAAAGATGACTGACTTTTAGTTACTTTTATTGTTGGTCTTAAATCCTTTCAGACAATGTACCCCCATTATTGCTTACACATGGATGGGCTCTATCATTGCCCCCACCCCTTAGTACACCTGTGGATTGCTTTTTAAAGAAATTCACTGTAAAATTATGTTAGAAAATGAGCTATTTTGCAATGATATAGATGTTAGGACTTAAAATGATTTCTTTAAATTGACTATAATGATAGGGAATATTTCAAAATTCACACTGTTACCTTAAGAAAGATGATATTCTAAATGAACTAAATTAGCACAGTATATCTAAAACAAATGGAGAGAGCTATTCACAAGGCAACTTTACTAATACCTACCTTTTGATGTTGAGTTCATGACTGTACCTACTGAGTTGCATGCATCAGATAAGGAGACAGTCTCATTAAATTGAGGAGCTGCTTTTTATGGTTCACTCCAGTCTTAGTATATTTGATAATTGTACATATAATTCATAGTAAGTCAGCAATTTTTCCACAGATGAAACCACAAAGTGGTTTGATGGAACTCCCACAGACCAGTCAAACTGGGGCATTCGGAAGCCAGAGATGGATCATGTCAAACCCCATCTATGTATTGCCCTGAGGATCCCCGAAGGAGTATGGCAGTTATCCCCATGTCAAGAAAAAAAAGGATTTATATGCAAAATGGGAGCAGGTGGGTAAAGCCAGAGGGTAATTCTTCATTTTGATGTTACCCTGACTAATGTTGACCCACCTCTTTAGCATTTAAAGCTTTGAAAATCCAAGTATTCGGGGAGTATTCAGATAGATTCTAACATTATCATTTCATTCAACATCAAGTAAGTCAGAGGACATTTCAGCTCCTTCTTTCTCTAATATGAAGAAAAAAAAATCATTATAAAGACTATGACTTTCCAGTGTCACCCTAGCCGTTAATGGGCAAAAAAGTAGTTTAACCTCAAAAAAATAGAACTAGTAATATTAACCAGCAACCCTTATTCTGGCAACTGCTGCTCAGAAATTTTAAGATTCATCTTCGGTCCCAGAAAATATAATCTAGGCCTAGATATTCTTGCTGTGGATAAGTAGATGTGATTCTCTGTTGCTAGCCATAATATATTATAAAAGTCATAGTTTAACTTTACCTTCAGCTACATAGTTTGTGGTGATAAAAAGAAATAATAATTTTAGAAATCTAAGCCAGAAAATTGTAGTCAATTGCAAACAATACAGAGATTTCTAAGATAGGATGTTAACAATGATCATTAACAGTAGAAATGTGTTTTTAATAATAATCACATTTCTAGATGCCAGTATTGCAGAGAAGGAGGAATTGGTGTGGCCTCGGCTGCTGGTGAAGGTTTCTGAGAAGAGATAAGGTTTTGGAATCCCAAAAGATAAAGAGAATAGAGAAGGGAAGCCATATTAAACAAAAGTCCCAGTATGACTAAAGGCAGCAATTGAGAATAAGCTTATATTAGAGTGAAGGGCTCACATTAGGTAGTGATGGGAATAAAACTGGACAGTAATGTAGGATCCATTCGCAGAGAGTACCAGTCTCAAGAGCTGAACTTCATGGTGAAGAAGACAGGGAACTGGTAGGTGCTCTGTAGACACCTGCTGTGAAATCACACTCATCCAGATGTAAAGGGAGGCAGTTGTAATTTGAATGATAGAACTAGGAACACGAGGAAGAGTAGAAGTGGGAAAAGAGAATCATCAGGCTTTGGTGATCTGATTAGACACTGGGTGGGAATGAAGGAGAAAAAACTGGTAGGTGTCTGCACCAACAGTTAAGCCCAGTAGTGTGGATAGGAACTCTTGTGGAAAACATGACTAAGCCTAATAAGTAGTGTGCCCAAGTGATCAATAGCATTCAATTTCAAGAACAGATCAGAAATACCTCGTGTCTGTACAGGACTTTAAAGCTTCCTGTAGTATAGAGGACACCTCTTTCATCCCTCACAGCAACTTCCTAAGGCAATGGAGCAGATACAATATTCCCATTTTACACATGAGAAAAGCACTTGTCCAAACTGGGGCTACATCAAGGACCATGCTCCAAATATTCTGACTCTACATGCTCCTTCTATATCTGCCCTCTGCATGCATCCAGAGAATAAATATTCTTTTAACAGTCTTTCTTTAAAAAGTATCTTCACACACACATAATATATGTTTTCAATAGTATTATGAAAAAGTATGCAGTATTATTTTTAAGTTGCAAAAACAAGTTCTGTTAATGTGGTTTTGCTGTTGGTGACAATGTTTCTTTTAAATCTCTTTTAAGTGTGTAAGAGTGAATGGGCATAAGTATTGCACCAAGGCACTTTCTCCACTCGCAATCCCTTTACTGATCTTCCTCTGAGTCATTCTCTACATATTTCTCTGGATCTTTACCTAGATTAAAAATAGCAGAACTCAAATTTAGAGATAGAGCCTATTTGAAAGAGATACATTTCTACAGTAGAAAGTCCTCAAACAGAACCCTCCAATTTTTTGAATGGGGGAGCTGTTACTCATTTCCTGAGATTCTTGAGATTGCAAAGGTGAGAAGGTGCTGATTTTAAAATCCTTGCGTGGAGGTAAAGAGATTATCATTGCTGGACAAACTCCATCTCAGAGCTTAACAAAACTTAGTTCCTTGCAGGCAGGGACTATATTTTATTTGTATTTCTATTACAGCACAGTGCTGAGACTAGATGGAACTTTTTCAGCTTAAAAAAAAAAACAGCATATGTGTTTGTGAGCAATGATAATGATTACAATAAATCAGGGGTCAGCAAAATTTTCTTGTAAAGGGCCAGACAGTAAATATTTTAGGCTCTGGGGGCCATATAGTCTCTGTCACATTGTCATTGTAGCATGAAAGCAGCCACAGACGATACATAAACGGATGAGTGTGGCTGAGTTCCAGTAAAACATTATTTATAAAAACAGGCACCAGATCTGATCCATGAGCCATAGTTTGTTGAGCCCTGCTATAAATAATAACATAATTTTGCCGAATTAAAAGAAAATTTTCATCTCAGTTTTTTTTTTTTTTTTTGTATTTGGTTTTAGATATTCACCCAGTAAAGGAGCACTCAGGAAAAGGTAGGTTTGAACAGTACAGAACATTTTGATTTCTCTTAGAAATAATAATATAGAAAGTAACTATGTGACAGTATCTATCTTAACTCATTGTCATTGAACTTTTCCTTTCTGCATCTTTTTTCAGGACCAAGTCACAGTATTGTACCTCTTGCAGTAGCGTTGACACTGACAGGAATTCTGGCACTTTTCACACTTTCCTTCTGCATATACAAGCACAACAGAGGTATCTTCAGGAGACTTGCACAGTTTAGGAATCCTTACTACCCTACAGCCAACTTCAGTACGGTACATTTGGAAGAAAATATTCTCATTTGTGATCTTGAGAAGAATGACCAGTAACAATGAATTCAGAGAACACTACAGCCCTAATGATAAGTAAAGACTTACGAGGAGTCTCCCCTGCATTTTCCTTTACATACCAGATGCCACTATAATGTGAATTGTGTCACTATTTTAATTATTCTTAAACTGATTACTGGTTTTGAACTGTAACCAAATCAGATGGGTGTTGATTTATTCATTTCCCCAAACTGTGATCTATTCTTAAAATGGGGAAATTATACAATGGTTACTAGTCAGAAAACAAGAACTATTAAAAATAACCCCCTATTGAAGACTCTCGAACCAATGTGAATAGCAGGTTTTGTATTAATATGTTTCTACTGAAATTTAAAAAGAATTTTCAAACTAATCTGATATCTATTCAGACATTTACTCACACTCATTCCATTAAAAAAGAGAGGAAGCAAAACAAATTTTAAAACTCTATGCTTGTATACAAGATGAAAAGTTAAAGGTCTCTGAGAGGTTTCTTGTTTGTTTTCTAATTCAATCATTTTAACATCAGGGCTTAGAAAACAAATTTCTAAGCTTAAAACTCACACATTCTGGGCTCTAAACTAATATTTAGGGTGATATTTGTTTTTATTAGTTCTGACTTCTCAAACTAAAGAAGAAAAATTACCTGTCTTTAAATAGGGAAGATCTTGGTTAGCATAATGTGGCCTAAAACCTTCATTTACTAAATGATGACTGTTTGTTATTTTAAAATATAGATAAGCTTAAAGGAATTTATTGAAGTTTTGCTATTGTCAAAACTCATGGCCTTTATTAAAACTAAAGGTATAAAGTAATATATAACTCTCCTAACAACTAAAAAATACAACATATAATTTAAATGTAAAGGGGGAAAAATGAAGATATGAATTACAGTACCATTAGAACCACACTAGAAGATATATTGAGAAGTACTAAATAAATGACTCTCCAATTATAATCTAGATACCTTTGCTATATAAACAGGTTTATGTGGGGTATTCTATTTAGTAAACTATGGCTCTTAAGAACCATCTGTTTGTGTTGGACTAGTTAATGCTGTTGGTAAATAATGATTAATAGCATGATACTGTCCACAAATTGAATATCACAGATTTGACTTTCCTTCACAAATTTCTCATTATGGAAAAGTGACTTCAGAATCAACATTTTAAAGTTTACGCATTCCATAACTATTCCCTGCATTCCTATGAAAAACCACGTGCCATTCTAGAAACTGGATGGATTGGGGTGAGCAAATTAATGAGAACTTGTTTTTATGTCACTTATTTTCCAATGAGAGAAAAGTGAGAGAAATCCAGTAAAGAAGTTCATAAGTAGAAAATACCAGGTGGTTATGAAAATTAAGTAAGGTCTTGTGATAGAGAAGAACTGGGGGAATCTCAAGGCCTCCCCAGAGTGTGCGTTTTAATTATTACATCCTGCTGCCCTGAAAACTAGTGGCCACTAGTCACAAGGTGGAACTCTGGGAGGAAGGATGAGTGAATCTCTAAGTGAAAAGCCATCATCCTTAGAAATAGAATTTGATGAATATACCCTAAGAGTGGAGTCCTCGTGGCCTGAAACAGTTAATACAGCTTCCAAAAGTGGCTCTTTGCTACTGGTGTGTAGCTTACACACTAGGACGATCTACTTCCATAATTTTTTTTTAAGTTTTGAGACTTCATTTTTTAAAAGATATTCTATTATGTAGCAGTTGTCTATTTAGAAGTCACAAGAATAATTGCCTTGAACTAACCAGGTGGTATAAAAGCCTGATTTAACAATCTGTCAAGTGAAATTAAAGTTCTATTCTTTTCAGTGGGCTTGGTAAAAACTGCTAATCAATTATCCTTCTAGTCAAGGTATATTGAAGTGGAATAGTCACACATAGCAATTTGACAAAGTATGTCATTAATAAAGTGGTTTTGCAGAAAGAAATTGCTCTGTTTGTCAATGCTCTGTACTTTGCTATTTAGTATTGAGCTACATTTCTGGAGAATCTGTCCCCATGGACAAGATCATGCACTCTTTCCCATTACTGAAATTTCAGAAATAGAAAGTACTGAAATATTATGTTTTATTTATAGATGTGCACTTTAAAAAACTTTTGCACATCTATTTTTAATCTGAACTAGATTTCACAGCTATAGTATGAAAAACAAAAAAGCATCAGGGTCACAAACTCATTCACACATAATTAATGTGCCCCTCTCCAAAAATATATATATATATATCAATTATTATCCATGACTCTGGATAATGGAAAATCTTGGATTTTACAATTAAATATATCTTGGGCTCTTCCAATTCCAACAGTCCTCTTTTAGTTTAAATGCTTCTTCAATTGAAAGTCCCCTTCCTATCAAGGGTGGATTAGATGATCTCTTTAGATAAACAGTCTTTAGGAGTTTCCTTTTCCTCCTCAGAATGGTATTGGATATATGAAAACTTGTGTTGTTGTAGTACTGGGGGGAGAAGGTGATAAGTGACTATAAATATGTGTTATCTGTGTCCACTGAGGGTGGTTGTCTGGCCCCACTCCTGGGAACTTAGCTGGCATCAGATATGAAGCCTGTAGTTGGTGCAACCTGTAGTCTATTCTCTTTGATTTGGCTCCATTCTGGCTCTCCCTGGCACTGCCTTATCTTCAGTATATTGGCTGTGACTCCCATCCAATTCTCTACCTGAACACTGCAGTTATACAAGGCCACTTCATCTCTGCAGTAGTGAGACCTATCTAGCACATCAATTACTCTATTAGGGGAGGCTAAGTGCTGTAGCAAACAATCCCAAAATCGCAGTGGCTGAACACAGCAAAGGTTTATTTCTCATCGACAGTGGTTTTGCAGGACTTTGCATTCATGGGTCCAGGCATCTCCTATATAGGAGAGTCTCCAATTTAGAGGGCCTTGGAGTCCTCCAATGGGTCTCCTACCTCCACCTGGCAGAAGCTAACTTAGGACCTATCGTTGATTAAGTATGTAGCTTTCATGGACTATTGAAATACATTCTTTAACAGTCTTCATACTAAGGACACATACCCTGAAGGTACATAAAGATTTCCAAGGAACAGAGGGGCATGGATATTTTTAAGGAGCTCAGTTTCCAGAATCTTTAACCTTCATATATATTCTTTCTTAGAATTAACTTGCATGAGAACACATGTGAGAGCATAGTGTCATGCTGGTTCTTCTTTTCCACCTCTCTTGTACAAATGCCTATCTCTACCTCAAAACAAAACAAAACAAAACAAAACAAAACAAACAAACAAACCATGGCTTTCACCCCAAATCTTGTTATGATGCTTTATCTTGGGAAAATCCTTCATGGCACCAAACAAAGAGAAAAAATTCAAAGTCGTGATGTCAATGAAGCTTCTTTCAATAAAGGAATTCTAAAACCAGTATAGAGCCTCATGTCTTTCCCTGTGTTTATACATTTTTTGATGAAAGGATGAAGTGATGAGTGAGAAATTTCCATGTTGGGACATTCTAAGTTAATACGCGTTATACAGAGTAACAAGAGAAATGATAACTACTACTTTTGTTTAAGACTATCTCATGCAGCCCCTAACTATTGCCAGAGAAGGTATTTCTGGGGAAATTTCTGGTGAAAGCAAAGGGAGTGTAGATACTGATAAGAACCTGACATCTTGGGGCGCCTGGGTGGCTCAGTCATTAAGCGGCTCAGGTCATGATCCCTGGGTCCTGGGATCGAGCCCCTCATCGGGCTCCCTGCTTCTCCCTCTCCCACTCCCCCTGCTTGTGTTCCCTCTCTTGCTGTGTCTCTCTCTGTCAAATAAATAAATAAAGTCTTAAAAAAAAAAAAAAGAACCTGACATCTTACCTTATCCTGATGAAAAGCTTATGACAAAGCCCTGTGCTTTATCTGTCTTAGATTTCTAAGTGAAGGTGAATCTTAACATGTTCATTGAACTGAAAAACAGAATCAGATTTTTTTCTGAATGTTTATTTGTCTTATTTGGCTCAGGGATTTGACAACGAAGATTGGCCTTACCTATTAAGTTTTATGACGAATATTTTTCATTACCTGAATAAACTAAATTAACAACTCTAGTGTCATGATTAAAGCACTTATTAAGATAAAGACATTTTAATAGAAAAATAGTATTGACAAAACTATAATGACATTAACAATATCATTTCCCCAACCTTACTTGGTATATCAGATAAAACAAGGGGTGCCTATGAGTGAAAGAGCATAATTAATAGTCATTTGAAAAGTCTTACCAAAGCCTATTAATTTTACTTCTAGGAAACTGACAAAGTGAATCATTCTAATGACTGGGTAACAAATCCTTTTGCAACTTGACTGTTTCCAGTTCTTTGCTTTAAGCCAAACTCAAGAAGGACATAATCAAATTATCAGTTGACAGATGACGAAAAGTGATTTTTACTGTAGGATCACTGTGACTTTGGGCACAAATGAGAAAATAATTCAAATAATGAAATTATATCGCTATAACAAATCCCCTTTCATTCCCATCTACTTATTTATATGAAGAAAGTTTTTATTTTGATCAGGATAGGTTAGGGCATGCTGTGAAAACAACAAAAAAAAATCTTCAAATGTTAATGGTTCAAAACAAAACTCAAAAATTATTTTTTTGGTCATGCAAAGCCTGCTATATGGTTCCATTGGTTCTCCAGGGAAGTTCACATCCAAGCAATAACTCATAGATCCAGGCTCCATGTCCCTACCTCGGGAATATGTGATACTATGGCAGGAAAAAGGAGTAGAGAACTCTTAAGTTTCTGCATCCTTAAGTGGCACTTCCACTCACAAATCATTGGCCAGACTAGTCACATGGTCCAACCTAAATGCAAGAAAGTCTGAGAGGTCTCCCAATGTGCTCAGGAAGGAGAGGATAACCAACTACAATGAGCACTAGCAATCTCTATCAGAGTTTCTCAGCACGTATGGCTGAGTATAATAATAGTAGAATTCATGCTAAATCCTGACTCATTCTGGCAATTTGAAATTAATTAATTTTATCTGTGATACATCCATTTCATTAAGAGATACATTACCTATAACATTTTAGTTTGATATATACTAATTATTTATTAACTGTTGTAATATATTTATGTTGTTCTGATCAATTGTGTACTAATAAAAATTAAAGTGACAGTTCAATATAGAAGAAAATGTATAACACCTAGGGCCTATGTTCACAGAGAATTTTTAAAATAATTTTAATTTACATACATCTTTTTTACTGTAGGCCAACATGACAAGGTGATGAATAAAATATTTTCAAGATTAAAAATATATTACATTAGAATAAAATTCTATGGGTGGACTGGAATGGAAATACAAGGCTAAGGAGAAAAACAAAGCAAAATCTCTGACTGCCAAGAGCTTGTTTATGTGTATTTCTATTTTTAAATAGATTATGATGGAATTCAAATTGTTAATGTATCTCCAATCAAAGGAACTAGGATGCCCTGGAGAAGTGGATGATTCCAGGTCTGGGGCAGGAAAAATGCAAGATGAAAGTGGATTATCTTGTGGCCCCGGAAAGTAAAAAATTGCTCACAAAAATATGAGGTCATGACCAAAGAACATAGGAACTAACCTGATGGAGCTCCCAATGGCCAACATTGGAACAATTTGAGAAAAAAAAATATTGATAGTATTGGATTATAACCCATAGAATAAATATGTATAAGTCCATATTGATAAAAAAAAACAAGCAACTGAATGAATGAATAAATAAACTGAGGAGAAACAACAGTTCTTTTCCACAGAAGAATTACAGTAAGTGTAGAAAGAATGAGAGAAACAAAAATCACCATTAGGAAAACACAACGGTAATAATTTATATAGCCAAGATCTACCAGTGGGTGCTAAAATTAGTGGGTGACCGTTTGAAGAGAAACAGGAAATTTGCATAGCCTTAAAGTATCACCCCCAAGACAGTAACTAATTATAATGGGAAAGTACTAACCTTACAGTAAATAAACCGCTTTATTCAAGTAATCAAGGCTAATATAAGCAGTAATCAGCCACATCAGCATCATGTAATCCCTAGCATGATGCCCTCAGAAGAGCACATGACTTCTTTGGTATCCTCTTCAGTAAGGCATAATCTTAATTTAATAATAGAAAACACCAGACAAATCCAAATTGAGGAACTTCTACAAAATAGCTGACCACTTCCAAAGCACCCAGGTCATAAAAGGAAAGATTGAGGAAATGTCATAGATTGGAGGAGAATAAGAAGACATGACAACTAAATGCATGGTGGCATCCTGGATTGAATCCCAGAAAAGAAAATGCACACCATGGAAAAATGTGAGAATAGAATGAAATTTATAGTTTGTTAATAAAGTATCATACTAATATTCATTTCTTAGTTTTCTTTAATTTTTTAAAAGGTTTTTATTTATTTGAGAGAGAGTGAGAGAGAGCGCGTGCACACTAGCAGGGAGTGGGGCAGAGGGAGAGGGAGAAGCAGGGAGCAGGGAGCCGCTTAACTGAGGTCCCTTAACCCAGGTGCCCCTCATTTCTTAGTTTTGATGATGGTTATGTGAAATGTACCAATAGAGCAAGCTGACAGGAATTCTCTATTATATTGGCAACTTTTCTGTAAACCTAAAATCATTCAAAATAAAAGGTGAAAAATTGGGGTACCTGGGTGGCTCAGTTGGCTAAGAGTCTGCCTTTGGCTCAGGTCATGATCCCAGAGTCCTGGGATCGAGCCCCCCACATCAGGCTCCCTGCTCAGGGGGGAGCCTGCTTCTCCCTCTGCTCCTCCCCCCACCTCGTGCTCTCTCTCTCACTCACTCTCGCTCTATCTTAAATAAACAAAATCTTTTGTAAAAAAGTGAAAAATCTGCTATGATATGAGATTCCATTGGATATATTAACAGAGTGACATGACACTTTTTTTCAATGTCATTATTTATAATATGCTGAAAATCGCATCCTACTTATATGTCAACTTGGAAATGTGCGAAGGGATATACATCTTGTTTTCAAAATTCTTTTAGGAAGTATGCAAACATTTGAGGACCACTGCTGTTTGATGCTCTTTCTCTCCTGACCCCAATGAAAAACAAGCAGATTCATCTTTTCTTCAATCTGCCTAAAAGTACCTCCTACTGGAGGTTTT